TTAAAGTTTGAGGTGGAATTGCTTGATACTTGAGTGTGTGACTTTAGGATATAAAGATTACCCCCCTATTTTTTGTGATACTACAGATTGAAACCAGAGGCACTCTACCTCAGCTACAATCTCAGTTCCTTTTTTTATTTTTATTTTTTTGAAATAGGGTCCTGCTAAGTTGCTAACACTAGCCACAAACTTATTATTCTACTGTCTCAGCCTCCTGAGTTTCTGCGATTACGGGCATGTGTCAGCATGCCAGTTCATAATGTTAGCCATTTTTGACAAGCTAAATAAATACCAGAACTTTGTAAACTAATTTAATATCATTCTCTTTAGTTTATTTTTAGTATCTCTTTGTTTTGAAAAGCACATAATTTAAAAAATTAACAAGATAAATTTTGTTGCCAAGATGTAGAATTTTACCAGAAAAATTATGTTGATTAAAATAAATTATTTTGAAATTTTTTCTTAATAAAATTGCATATGGATAGCATAATTATAAAATTTATAGTGTCTGACTGATGTCAATGTACTATGCACAGAAAACATTCATAAAGTTTTTGTTTAAAAATAATAAACATTTATATAATCTATGTATAAAAGTCCACTATATACATGACACTAAGATACAGTCATCGATGTTAATATTATATTCATTATCTCTAATTGATGATATACCTGAGGAAAAGCAAAATAAATACTGTGTAGGAGATAATTATCTGGACAAAGAAAGAAATTAGAAATAAATAAGTTAGGAAAAAAATTAGGCTCATTGGGGAAATGTTCATGAAAAATAGAAATAGTAGAGCATAAGATGTTATTTTTAGCTTTGGAAATTGGTGAGATTGTAGAGAGTGAGATCGGAGTGACATAATTTTGCTCCTTCAGAGTCCTATTCTTTCAGTTTTTCTAAGCTACTATTAAACCTTCTTATGTCTTCTCAACTTGGTTCCTAGCACTCCTAAATTTTTCTACACATAGTCCTCCAAGCTTAGACGATGAGTGAGATCCATCTTCATGTTCACTTCCTGCAGAATTTGGATTTATCATTCTCCCTTCTTCTGTGTGTCAGTTTCTCAGTTTCTCTTGTGCTGTGAGATTGAATAGGTGAATAGGTGGGAGGAATCAATGGAGGAAAAATTTATTCTTGGTCCAGTCTGTAGCCATCAGAGGTTTATAAACAAGATGATACCACTGTCAGATTTGTGTTTCAAACTTTCTTCTATGAGTAGGGTGGTATGATGCGTAGAGGAGAAAGAATCTAGAGCTGGAAGACAAGCTAGAAGGAATTACTACAGTTATTCAGATGGAGCATGACAATTTGGTCTGGGAATGGTTTAGACTAAGGACAGATCACAGAGATGACCTCAAAGATTTGTTGATATAGTTTATGAAGAAAATGGAAGAATAAAAGGTGACTTAAAATTTCTCTTAAAGAATTTGAATGAGTGGTAGTACTATTAACTGAGAATTTATTTAATCTCTCCTAGTTCCTAAAGAATTTTAATCATAAGTACTTAAAATAGGGTTTATTTTTTGGTGTTAAGGAGTATTCTTTTGAGATGTTGGCCAGATATCTAATCCTCATATATTACGTATGAGGGTTAGAATTCTAAGTAAATTTATAAAGAACTAAGGAGCTACTAAGTAAAGAACCACCTTAGTTATGAGAAAAAGACAAGATTTATTCTTAAATCACGATTTCTTTCTCAGAATACCCCATAAACGAAACAGTACTTCAGCAATTCACTTTGCATAGTGCCAGTTTTATATATTGTTATTCTGTCAAATTCCCTTTATGAAAGGAGCAACTTCTTGTTGGTATGTTTTTCTCCTTAATGTTGGTAGGTCTTATCTCCATCCAGCAAATGTTTGAAAGCCAACTATGTGCCAGGGTTTTTCTAGTGTTGGGAGGTAAAATAGTAAAAAGACTTGATTTACTTCCCACTTGGGGAAGTAAACATTATTTTGATGCACAAGTCAATATAAAATGGCCATTAAGTGATGTGAAGCAGGGGTTTATCGTACTAAGAGCTAACTTTAGGTGCATTTTGCCTGTTAGTCATGAAACTTAAGGAAGTTTTCTGAGGAATCGATGTTTTAGCTGTAATCCTAGGGTTCAGTTCACCATGTAATAAAATAAATTGCAGGTGAATAATACTTAAATGTAAAAAGGTAAAGCTCTATAATTCTTCAGAGAAAATATAGGAGATTATTGCTAGAGCCTTGGAATAGGGAAAGATTTCTTAGATAATATGATAGCCATAAAGGGTAAATATGATAAAGTCAACAACAAAAAAATGAAAAGACAAGCTGTGAAATGGGAGAAAAAACAACTTATACTTTTTTTCCGGAATATACAAATGACATACAAATTAATATAGAAAAGACAACAAACAATAGAAATATACATGAACAGGCATTTTCATAGAAGATGAAATGAAACATACTCAACTTTAATAATTGGAGGAAAGCAAATTAAAACGAGCATGGGCTGTCTTATACTTGGTATCAGATTGGTAAGAATTTGAAAGTCTGACCATACTAAGGGATGGGAAGTAATAGCAAACTCTTAGACACTGTTGATAGGAGGGTATATTGGTCAGTATTTTAGGAACACTTGACATAGTGAAATGGAAAATAACCCCACCCTAAAACACAGCTGTCCCTCTTCTGTATACTCAGGAGGAATCCTCTTCAAACTTTGTGCATGTGAATTACCTGAGGTCTTATTAAAGTGCAGGTGTTGATTTACTTGATTCACTGGGTCTAGTACCATCTGACTGAAAATTCTAAAAATTCTACATGTCTAACAAGCTTCTGTGTGAAGTGTTGCTAATCCACAGATCACATTTTGATAGGAAAGCCCGAGAGCACACTTCTTACTTTAGATGTATAGCACGTATGGCAAATAACATGCTTAGTGCATGGGGTTAAAGAGACTGATCTGCTTTCTAGGATGAAAGCCTCATTTCCCACAAGCTGCCCACAGAGCTTAAAGATTCAGTGTTTCTTCTGCACACCTCCACCTATTCAAGCCACAGCGTATACACACAGAAACTGTGGTAGAGAAACTTGCACATCTGCACTAGGGACTTGGTTCACTGCTGTGCTGTATGAAAACAAAAAGTTGGAAACAACCTAAAAGCCTTTTATAGTGGAATGGATAAATATGTTTTTTGCAGTGGACTTCTGAACACGAGTGAAAATGATGAAATAGAGTTATATTTATTAATTCAAATGAATCCCAGAAATATAACATCGGAAGTCTTAGAGGAATACATGCAGTATGCTATTGTTATAAAGTTAAAAAGCAAGCAGAAATAATGTTTAGGGATAGCTGTATGTGTGGCAAATTATTTACAAAGTAAAGCAAAGAACAGTAACCAGTTCGGGGCGGTGGGGTCAGGGCATTCCTTGTATGAGGAGCATACTGAGAACTTCAATAGAATTGGGAATGTTTTATCTTCAGAGTTGGATGTTAAGTTAGGAATATTTCTTTTATATGCTTTGATAGACATGTGGAAATATATATGTGTGTGTGTATATATATTTACACGTGTAGGTACATACATCTAATTATACGTGATTACATCTTAGTTTGATCTTGCATGCTCTTAAATATTTTAATCTGCCTGTTACACTTAAAGTTTTAATGATACCAGTTATCCATCTCTGGTTTAAAACAATAGTGATGTAATTTTTCAGTGTTCTGCAGGTTGGCTGGGCAGTTCCTCTGCTGGTTTTTCCTAAGTTCCCTCTTGTGTCTTCACTTAGCTGGAGGGTTCACTAGGCTAGATCCTAGATGGCTTCCTTTACAAGTCTAGCATTGGTACCTACTCTTTACTGGGGCACTCACATTTTTTTTTCCATGTGACTAGATCATCTTCCTTATGTGATGGTCTGTACAGCATTTTAGCAGCAGAAAAGCTGGAAGTCCTCTTGAAATAAGGTTGGGACCGCACAGTTTTACTCCTGTAACATTCTGTGGAGTAAAGCCAGTCACGAGGTTAGCTCCAACAGACTCCGCCTTGATGAAAGGAATTGCACTATATTGTGACAATGTTTTCAGTTTCCCATAATGACAGTCTTCCTAACTAAAATTGGTGAAGCAATCTGCATATTTAGACTACCTTCTAACCTCCTTTTCTCTTTCTCCTACATATTTTTTATGAAATATAAACATTTTGTTCTGTCACCACATTCCTATATTGTTTCAGTCTCAGACCTAAATTTGTTTACATATATACATCATCTTTATATGTACATACATATGTGCATTTATATTTATGCATACAGATACACATATATGTGTGCTTTTATTCAATATATAGTTACTACTTACCACTACTCTTTTACCATGGGTTTTTCAGTTATCTCTTGGTTGGGCTGTCTTAAAGATTACCCTAAAGGTCAGTGTTTTTCATCTAGGGACAATAATTTTGCCCCCTTAGTAGACATTTGGTAATCTGAACTATTGCAAAAGCTACTATGAATTAAGTGTACTTCATTCCAGAAGCCCAATCTAGTGCTATGGTGAAGCCCTTACTTTGGTGCATGTGAAATAAGGCATCTGGTTAGAAAGACAACTGAGAAGTGGCAGTTTACAATGCAAAATGAAATCTGAGCTAATGCTAGATGGATTTATGGATTTCAGAGAACATATTACTGCTGTAAACTTTATTCATTTTCTTACCTGAGACACCATTGTAGAGTACACTAATTTTTAGTGTACTAATGGTTCATTAGTTAAAGAAAAGGTGTTTGGGGTTCATTTTCTTTAAGAATGTAAGGAAACTTGGGCAATGTTTTAGGAAAATTGCCATTAAAAATTATTAAAACATTTGGTGAATTTTGAAAAGCTGTTGTTTGGACCACCTTCTTTTCTAAATAATACAAGGTATTTTCTACAAAACTTCAAAAACTCACTAACTGTATTTTGTTAGTAAATTTGCTTTAATATATTTCAAGTTGTTGCTGTGGATAAAATAGTATGTTGTCTTCAGTTGCAGATTCTCTATCCTGTGCTGTTATGCAAAATGTCCAGCCTCGAAAGTCCAGCCCAGTAGTATCCACTGTATTGTCAGGAGCCTCATCAACAAGAATGCCTTCTGCTGCAAAGCACCCAACAGAACCTGTGGCCCCAGTTACTCAGCCATCAGAGCTATTACAGCAGAAAGGTATTTGAGAAATTTGTTATTCAAATGGCTGATTTTAAAAAGTCAAACTATAACCATAATTTATAGAATACGTATTTAAAGAAAAATAATTTATAATCTCAACCCAGGCCCAACTTTTGCATATCAACTTCCAGTTTCTCTTTATGATGATGTATTTTACATAATTAGAATCATACCATTTTGTGTTTTGCTTTTACATTTATTAAATTATTCAGTTCTTCATATATATTTTTTAGCCATATTCATGACTAATAACCCATTATGTTGATATATTAGGATTTACTAATTCATCGTTCTATCATGTGATATTTTTCCTTTTTTTTCCCTTAAGGTTGGTACAAGTGACAGGCAATAAAATGTGTTGATTCTGTTTCTACACATACTCTTTTCTTTTGGAAGGTTTTTTTGGTCACTTTCTATCTAGCTAAAATTCCAGAGTATTGATGTTTCAGGTTAATATGCTCTATTTTTCATTTGATCAAAGGTGAAATGCTCTATTTTTCCTTTGACCAGATATTTTCAGGAATCTCTAGTTTGTATTTCCAGAGCAACCATTATAGTATTTTAAGGACTATTTTATGTAATGACAGCTTCCAGCCTTGATTATGAAGAACCCTTCTATTATATTCTGAAACTCAAAAAAAGAAAAAGCATCATAAATTTGTAGGTTGATCTTGCTGCTTGTATCTGTGAAGTGTTTATGTGGTCAAAAGAGGTCTTTCCATCAATCAGATTATACATTATACGTTTTCTTATTTGGTTTTAAAGGAAAACCAACTGCAATACAAAAAAAATGTTTATTGATTCCCAAAGTCAGTGCTTGTACTGGAAATAGAATCTAGTTTTTATAACCATTCATCTTCAAAGTAAAGGGCTGGTAGGAATATTTTGCTTATAATGAGTAGACAAACCTTGAGGGTAGATAAAAACCCTAAGTAAATGAGTGGTGTTTTTTTTCCATATCTTTCTTGAATATTGATGGCTGTCTCCTACTTCTTAAATATTTCTCCTTTTGACTCTTTACATTGTTCCTTCCAATTTCTTTCCATCTACTGTATTTTCTTTTTGACCATCTCACTTTAAATGCCATCTGATCATCTTACTATAATTATCATTTTGTAAAACAGTCTACCACTTAACTGTCACAATTATATTTCTTTTTTTAGTAGAAAATAGATTTGGAGAAGGAGCTACCATTTATTGAGCACTTACGTTCCAGATTCTTTGTAATTATCATCTCATTAATCCCTATATTAATCCATTGACATAGATATACCTGATTAACAGATGAAAAAGCAAAATTCACAGAGTTTAAGTACCATGCCCATGTCTATAGTTTAATAACTAGTACAGCAAAAGATTTCTAGGCAAGTCTTCTACCCCTGAGTTATACTCACAACTAAGATTTTTAACTCAAACTTCTCTATCTTGTGTTCTTTAAATGTGGCTGGAATATTGTTGTTGTTGGCTATTGACAAACTCTTGATTTACTTAAAATTCTTGCTTGAGTAAGAGAAAATAATACTGGAGACATGTGAACTGTAGCTTTTATTCTTCCTTTTTCTTAAGTAGGAGCTTGGCCTCTTAATGTGCTCTTTTTCTTTGGATATCTGCATATATAAGCTACAATGAATGATTGTTCAAGTTGCAGTCTTCATGAATGGAGCCCCTAGGAATTGTGCAGTGTACCATCAGCATAGGGTATGGCCTAATCTGACTACTAAAATATTAATATAATTTGCCCTCTGTAGTCTCAGTTCTGTATCTGCAGATTTAATCAACCACAGATAGAAACTATTCAGAAAAGATATGTATCTATACTAAATATACTATACTTTTTTTCCTTGTCATTCTTTCTTTTTTTTTTTTCTTTTCCTTTTTAGATATACATGACAGACAGAGTGTATTTGACACATACATACATGGAGTATAACTTCCCATTCTTGTGGTTGTACATGATGTGGAGTTACACTGGTCGTGTATTTGTATATGAACTTACAAAAGTTATGTCTTTTTTGTTCCTATCGCTCCCCCTTCCCTTTCTTGTTATTATTTGTAAGTATTATTTCTGAGTATTCTTAGGTATTAACATAATCTAAAGAGAATTTAAAGTATATAGGAAGTTGTGCATAGATTATATGTAAATAAGATACCATTTCCTATAAGGAACTTTAGCATGCATGGTTTTTTATATCACTGACAGGGGGTGCTCCTAAAAACAAATTCCTGCAGACACAAAGGGACAACTGTACTTAAAACAGTCATTTTATCTTTTAGTTTAGTTGAGTTGTTCTCCCAAAACAACATTTTTTTTTACCATTATTTAGAGGGGAGACTTCACATGTTTACTTGAGTATCACTTAAAAAAAATCTTGCAAAACTACTTAACTACTTGAACAATTTTCAGATAGTCATCTATTTTTTTTTTATCAAAAATGTAAGTAGTTTCAGTTAAGCAATTTTGTTGACTTTTAAAACGTATCTACTGAAATGATATCCACCATCATCTTTATAAAAGTACCCTAATGAACTCTTCTTTAACATTTATATTTTTTCCTTTTTTAAAAAAATTCTTATCCCTTTCCCTGAATATAATCGTATATTATTGAGCCAGAAACTCTTTTATCATTCTGTTACATTCTGCCACAATATATAAATTGAAATTTAAAAATCTGCTTCATTTTCTATGAACATAAGTCTCTAAATATTATGATTTTTTCTTTTGGATTAAGCTGTCATTATAATTTTTATCATATAGTTGATTCTAACAGTCTAAACATCATGAGTTTTGATATTATTAATTATTTATATTTTTATTGGAAATACATCCTTCAGTGAGATGAATGGCCCTCCCCAGTCTCCACCAGAGCTTTGTATCTGGGTTAATATGATTTGTTGTTAGAATAGATAGGGTTCAGATTAACTTCATTCCTAGTTTACATGTTTATACATATAATTAATTAATAAGAAACTTTGTTCATATAAATAAGAATGGTATTGGAAGACTTTTTCATATTTTTAATCTCTTTAGTATTCTAAGTTACATGTCAGAAATTGTCATTTGTTAGATTTTATTTTCCAAGTTGTAGATAGTAGTTAATGTTATTGTTATTTTCATGTAACAATTTAAAGTTTATAAATGCCTTTAATATTTTTTATTTTGTTTGCTCATCACATGAAACAGGCAAATTACATTTTGTCTTCCACTTTTTCTTTGGTTACACTTTGGACTGAACCCAGGGTGCTCTATGACTAAGCTAGCCCTTCTTATTTTTTATTTTGAGACAGGGTCTCACTATGCTGCACAGACTGGCTGTGAATTTGGAATCCTCCTGCCTCGGCTTCCAGAGCAGCCAGGATTACAGGTCTTTTATAAATGAGGAAACTAAAGTTTAGAGAGATTAGGTGTCTTTCCCAAAGACATCTAGACTTTCTGCGAGGTTGCCAACACTCAACATAGACCTTGTGCCTCTAAACCCAGTGTTCCTTTTCCTCTATCAGCAGTTACTCAGAATATTGAGAATTTTTTACACACTTTGCTGATCTAATATCCTACCATGTTCTTTCATTACATTTTATCAAAATAATCAAGCTGTGATGTAGGTCATTTATTTTTTGGATGCTGTATCTGTATAACCTAGTTGGCGAAAGCATTTCTCAAAACGTGTCAAAACATACTGCTAGTTTTACCTTCTGGTAAATTTTTTTTTGTTGTTAAAAGGATATAGAAAGTATTAAGTATCTTATAAATATATTAAAGTGAGAATTATACTTTAATTTGTACTATATTATATTTACAATATTATTTAATGTAGTTCATTATTAGTATTACTAATAGTATGTTATTTATACTATATTACAAATATTTTATGATAAGATAGGTTGTGAAGTACTTTCTTGTATATTTCTCATTGACTCTGAAAGAAATCCTATGGGATCTGTCTTTTCTTTGCAGTGCTAGGGATTGAGTCCAGGACCTCTCAAATGCTTGGCAGGTGCTGTACTACAGTACCTTTGCCCTCATAGGATCTTTATCTATAGAGTTTTACCCATGTATTTTGAAAAAAAATGATAGTCCTGGAAAATATTCTATTTTATTTTATTTTTATACTAGAGATTGGACCCAGGGCTTCGTGCATGCTAGGCAAGTACTCTCACTGAGTGACATTTCAAGCACTTTTTGTTGTGGTGGTAGTTGTTCTTTTTTGAGACATGGTTTCACTAAGTTGCTCAAACTTCCATGAGTTTGCATTTCTCCTGTCTCAGCCTCACAAATAGCTCTCTCTGCTTATTTTAAAAGAATTATCATTACTAAGTGCCCTGTGAACTCCTCAGGTTGGAAGACTCCTCCACCCTTTACTAATGACTTGCCCTAGGGATGAGTATTAAGAATAGTAGAAAATAATTGTTTAATTAAATATACACAAAACCATGTTAAGGTTTAGCAATGATAATAGCTAATACTTGCATAGTATTTAGTGTATGCCAGGTACCATGTCTAATCATTTGAAATATGTTAACTCATTTAATCCTTACAACAACCATTTGGGGTACTTATTATTCCATTTTACAGATGATGTAAGTGAAGGACAGAGAGGGTGATGACTTTCTTAGAACATATCAAAGGACATACATCTAATAGGTAGTAGAACGTGGAATTGAATCCAGAGTTTCCATATTTATCTGCATTGTCATGTTGCTTCTCGCGTATTCTTTTTTTAAATGTATACTTATTTTTTAGTTGTAGATGGTAGAAACAATATCTTTATTTCATTTTTATGTGGTGCTGAGGATGTAACCCAGTGCCTCATGCATGCTAGGCAAGCACTATACCACCGAGCCACAACCCAGCCACTCATATTGCTTCTCTTTTCATTATTTCTTACTGTCTTATGCTTTGTTCTCACCAGGCTCTTTCAAAAGCAGTGGATTCTTTGACAGTAGTGGTCTGGGTCTGCATAAAGGCAGAATTATTAACTAAATAGATTTATCATTTCTTTATCACAGCACTTTTCATATTTCTGAATTAAGAATATCCTAGTGAGAATCAGTCCTGTTTCTAACATATTTCACCCATAACTGAAATGTGTCTTTCAAAGTTTTTAAAAAAAGCCATTAGGTTTTTGGGATTCCTTGGTCAACTATTGAAGGAAGGAGGAGGCTTTCCTTTTAGTGCTTGATAGGTTTTATATCTCAGGGCAACATGTCACAGTGAGATTTAGGTAAGTTTTCTGTGTGAAGTGAGAGAAAGGTTATTGTCCACACAGATATTTTTTAAGTGAATACATTTAGGAAAGAGAAGGCTTACAGATACTGATATCTGAAAATTGATTCCTATAAAGCCATTCTTTTGTGGGAACCCTTGAAAAGCCTTCTAGTATATGTACCTAGCTTGAAGACCAGCTTAGGAAAAATAACAGTTGCTCCAGACTCTTAAATAAACCAGCCTCCACAGGGATTTGTTCTCTTAAGACCAGTTTTGATTTATTCCCAATGTGGCTGTATCTAGGGAACAGTGAAGATATCTTTTTTTTATTAAGCAGTCCTAAAGGATGTGGTCTTATAGAGAATTTTGCCTCAGGGTGCTTTAATAGCAGGTAGTTTAATCTGGATGTCCTTTTTAGTATCACACCCTCATACCCCATACTCGGATTGAACCCAGGGCCTTGTGCATTCTGCAAGCTCTCTACCACTGAGCTACAGTCCAACCCCCAATAATTGAGGGTGTGATGTTTATAATTTTTCTTCTTCTTCTTTTTTTTTTTTTTGAGAAGGGGGTGTTTTTTAAAATTCTGGAGGGTGTTAATAACAGAGCTCTTTGTTGTGTTAGATTCTATGAAATGTTTCTTGACTCTTATTTTACTAGATTCATACCTTAGAATCTCTGATTAAGACAGAATGAATCAGGGTACAGCATTCACTTTCCCTTTGATCCTAGGGACATTCAGTATCCCTTTGATACTAGGTATTCCATGCATGTTTCTACAGGGGGTTCTAGACTGAGCTTGGAAGAAGACCTCATATATTTGATCTGAATCTTATGCATAAGGAGCATCTGAGTATGAGGAAAGTGTCATAATCATTTATGTATTATAGAGTAGATGACATGGCTGTCCACCGTTTTGTGGCTACAACTCCCCATTTGCTGCACATAACCTAGAGGAGGGCACTTAAATATGAATTGATTATTATTCTGGATCTCTTGCCATTCCTCTGTGGGTTAACTAATGCGTTATATTCTTGTCCTGTGAATATTCCCAAACTGTTAGCAAAGTTTACTTGAACCAGCAAAGTAAAGGTAAGCTGAATTGTGAGCTTGTTAAGAGTCATGGGCTGAACTCTTGATGCTTTAATATCCAGCACCTCTCAAAACAGATGTTACCTTTTTTCATGAAAGGAAAAGTTGGGTATGTTGTGTGACAGTCTGTTAATCTAATACCACGGTACAGTCTAAAATTATTCTATACTGAGAAATATTACTCTTATTCTAGGTTTGTTTCAGTGTGTTAAGTAGTAGCTGTGTAAAATTTTTAAAAATCATTAGGCATTGGATATTTTTCTGATATTAGTTGAAATTAATCTTTTTTTTTCTTATTCAGTAAATCTGGAGGAAAATATTTATTTCATCATACATATGTAAACCTGCCCTGTACTTTGGCACATTTAATTAGTCAGTAGTCAGTCATAAAAAGAGTATATTCTCTTCTGAGTTTTCTGTTGGTTGTTGGTCTTTCTTAGCTTAGTATAGTGAACAAAATTTCTTCTTATTATATAAATTACACACATGTTTATCTTTTAAAGTGCAGTGTGGCCAGGTGCAGTGGCTAATGTCTGTAATCCCAGCTGCTTGGGAGGCTGAGGCAGGAGGATTGCAAGTTTAAAGCCAGCTTCAGCAAAAAACGAGGCTCTAAGTAATTCAATGAGACCCTGTCTCTAAATAAAATACAAAACAGGGCTGGAGATGTGGCTCAGTGGTTGTGTGCCCCTGAGTTTAATTAATGGTATCCAAAAATTATAAAGTGCATTATTATTATTATTATTTTAGTGTGGGTGGACACAATATCTTCATTTTTATTTGTTTACTTTTATGTGGTGCTGAGGATTGAACCCAGGGCCTCACGCATGGAGGCAAGCGCTCTTCCACTGAGCTACCACCCCCGCCCTACAGTGCATTATTAACTGCCCCAGTCTGGCTGGGCACCAAATAACTGAGCCACCACACACCTTGTAGATTCAAACAGCAACTCTTTATTCTCAAACTGTCACCGGCACTCTACATGCACGTTCTGGGGAAAATCCACACCTCCACCAGGCTCTGCATCCCAAAATACTCTCTGAATCCCATGAGAACTCAACAGGGAACTAAAGGAGTGGGCGGGCGCCTGAGGCAGCAGGATACACCCTATTCCCAGCAGGGTCCACCTTAAACCTGGACCCACCCTAATCCAGCAGGATCCTCCCTAAACCCAGATCCACCCTGGTCCTTGAGCAGGGTCACTTTCTCATTCATGCAATGTCACTGCAAATGACCTGGGTCCAAGGCAAGCCCATTTCCACAATGGAGAGTCCTCCCTCTAAGCAACATTGGGTAGGCTGACAAAGAAATTGCCATGCATCATTCCTACTTGGCAATGGCTCTCAGCAATTAACAGTATTTTGAGAAAGGTCTTTATTTTTTTTTAAAGGCCTTTTCTAGAAGGATTTTTCTAGAAAACTTATTGATCTAGTTTATCATAAACTTTTTAGTGTATTTAACCTAAAGTCTAATATTAGTCACATTTTCATTTTAACTAGGCTTTTGTTAGAGGAACACGCAACTCTGAATTTGGAAGGTATCAAGTTTGCTTCTTATACTGTGTGAACTTACTTTACATTGAGTTTTATTTCCTCAGATGAATTTGTGATAACTGCTATTTTATCCGTATTAAAAAATATTTCAGCAAAGCTAGCAGATTTTCCATGGCTCTTAATCATATTGGGAGGATCAAAGCTTCACTGATATACAGTTTAACCTTTGCTTTCTTCTAAACTCAAGTTTTACTTGTTAATAGCTTTTTTCTTAAAATAGAGAAGAATTATGTTGTCCATGCTAATCACAAAGGTCACCTGAAGAAACAGTGGAGAGAGTATTTGGGGACAACCTTGTGATTTTGGTGATTATGGCTTTGTTGTACTCCCAGTGTTATGAAGTATTCTTGGAAATCCCCACTAGGTTCCTGGGGTTTTTTTTGTTTTGTTTTTTAAAAGTAGAGCTGTAAGATTTTTATTACAAGCATGTTTGTTCTTTTTTTATGAAGTGTTTTCATTTTTAATTAAGATGAATTTTATTTTCCCCTTAAAAATTTTATGGATCTTAATGTTTTATCTCTTGATTTTACCAAATTAATTAATAAAAATACCCAGTCAACTTTTTTGTTGGGGGGGGGATGGTGGGGAGGTACTGGGAATTGAACCGAGGGGTGCTTTATCACTGACCCATATCCCCAGCCCTTTTTATTTTGAGTTTTGAGACAGGGTCTTGCTAAGTTGCTTAAGACCTTGCTAAATTGCTGAGACTGCCCAATCAACTTTTTAAAAGGGAAATACTATATAGCTACCAGTACCAGTTACGAGCTTTTTCATTAGACTCTGCCTCCTGTTGGTGTAGCTCACACCTACTTCAGACCCACATCTAGGCAATAAAATAACACTGATATGACTGACCACCTTATCTCAGGAAACCCAGTTTTCTGCAATTGTCACACTTGTAAGGCCACAATTAATAAGATTTTTGGCTTTTTTGAGCATCTGCTGTGAACAGAGAACTGTGCTGAATACAGTTCTTTAACTGTCATTCTTTTCCGTTAATGGGAACTGTGTTACCGTCAAGTTGGCATTGGCAGAAGGAAGGTACCAAATATCTGAATGTGTTTTGGATGCTGCACAAATTTAGTTCAGTAGAAATGATCACTGCCCACCAAGAATGCATAGTTCCAAAGGAAGTATACCACAAGAGCCCAATGGTCAAAGAAGGTAAATGTGTATAAAGCTTAGGAAAATTTCCAGAGACGATCATTGCAATTTCCTAAGTATTTTCAGTATAATATGTGGTACTGTTTTCATACTTAAATCAGTTAGTTCATATTAAAGCTGCTTTTACTAAACTGCTTTGCAGAGATTGCCTAACAGTTTTAATTTTGATAATAAATTTGCTAATGTTAATATGCATGCTGTGATGTTCTTTGGAATGTCAGAGTTCTTTCTCACTTTTAATGCAATGTCAAAATTTTATTTCTCGTCTTTCCTGTTGGTTTGACTCTTGTGTTTGTGCTTTCCACTTTACAGGCATGCAGTATGGTGAATATGTTAATAATCAAGCTAGCTCCGCACCAACTCCCTTGTCATCAACTTCCGATGATGAGGAAGAGGAGGAGGAGGATGAGGAAGCAGGTCTGCTTTAGCTTTACACCAGTCTTTGATCTTTTCCTACTCTAGTTTTTTTCTTTTATTTCTATATTCTTAGCCTTTTAAAAAGTGTCTAAAGATTTAACAAGATGAACTTAACTTGGCTTGGGTTATAGAAGGTGGGGTCACTTGAAATAAAGTGTTTATTTAGTTTTTCCTCCTTTGGACATCTTTATCATTTTGTAAGTAATAGGGTTAGATTTCATCATTCATGATTGTGGAGTATTTTCCTCTTTCAGAAATGCATTTCCTCCCTTGTCATGTGCAAAGGAATGAGTCCTGACTCAAGCTCTTGGCTGATGATTGCTATAGCTTCCTTAGAGGAATATGTTTTCTGCTTTGCATGATACTTTGTTCTAATGAAAATGAGCCATATGGATTTTATAATAGTGATAGAGAAAAAGTGTTTTATGATGTCCTCTAGGTCCTTTTTTTATCAAGTATTTAGAAGGTCCACAATTTGTAGTTGTTTTCCTGATCATGAAGTAGTAATTCATATCACAAAGTAGTAGTTCATATCATAAAGTAGTTATGCATATAGTTATGTGTTCCAATCTGTTTAATATCTTTTTCTGCTTGATAGAGAGAACATTGCTGAAAATTAAGCAGTTAATCCCTCTATTAATTTTAACAGTTGTAGACTGACCCAATAAGTGTGATGATCTTTCAAATTACTATATGTAACCATGATTCTCCTATTTTTTTTAATGATGGGAGGCTTTGCTCTATAAACAGTTTGTTTAAGCAGAAATTTCTATTTTCTGTGTATTTTTAAAATATTCATATCTTATTACATGATTTGAGATGGATAAAAACAGAAAGTAGGGGAGTAATTTTTCTTATTTTAAATATATAATTACTCATTTATCTTTCAGAAATTTTTATTTTTTTAAATGTGATTTCGAACTTAATTAAAAGTTGCAAAAAAGATTAAAAGAAACTTTATATACACGTTATGCTGGTAAACCATTTTTGCACCTCTTGGTTTATAATTCTGGATTTTTTTTCTACATCATTTGAAAGTGAGTTGTTGAAAACATTATGAACTTCTCTTTTAGTTAACGTTTTTGTTGCTGTGACTATAAGACCTAACCAGAACAATTTTAGGAGGAAAAGTTTATTTGGGGGCTCAGAGTATTAGAGGTCTCAATCCACGAACAGCAGGCTCCATTCCTCAGGGCTAGAGGTGAGGCAGAACATCATGGGGGAAGAGTGTGGCAGAGGGAAGCAGCTTACATGATGATCAGGAAGCAGAGAGAGAGAGAGAGAGAGAGAGAGAGAGAGACTGACTCCATTCTCCAGAAACAAAATATATACCCCCAAGCCACGCACCAGTTCCTACCTCTTCCAGCCATACCCTACCAGTTCAGTTATCTCTCAGTTAATCCCTATCAGGGATTTCATTTATCCTCTGAACCTTTTTGCATTGTCTCACACGTGAGCTTTTGGGGGACACCTCACATCTAAACCATAACAACCCCTAAGTACAAAAGTGTGTCTTTCCTATTTATAAGGACATGTGTTACATAAGCACAATATAGTTGTCAGGAAATTGCACTGTTAATATAATAATATCTGTCCATAGTCATATCTCAACAGTGTCTCCGTTTGATCATTTATAGCTATTTTAATGGTCCAAGATCCAGTTCATGATCATGCATTGAATTTAGTTGTCATGTCTATTTAGACTTCCACAATCCAGAACAGTTGCTTAGATTTTTATTCTTGACCTTGACATATTTAAAGAATATAGGCGAATTATTTTGTGAAATGTTCCTCAATTTAGATTTGCCTTTCCTCATGATTAGATTTAGATATTGCATTTTTTATGGGATTTTTAAAGTATGTTGTGTTTTCTGTGCATCTTGTCTGAGGCATCAGATGTTAATTTGCTCCCATATTGATGACTTGATCTTCAGTTATGTAGTTTAGGTAATAATCTGCTAGGTTTCTCTACTATAAAGTTAACTACTTTTCCCTCATGAAATTAATAAATAATTTGTGGAGAGATTCTTTGAGGCAGTATAAATATTCTATTCTTTATTAAATTCTCACCCATTTGTTTTGGAATTCAGCTGATGATCTTTAAACTCTGATAGCCCTTATATTGATGAGTTGGATTTGTATTATAAAGAAAAGTCATTGTATCCATTTGGCTAGGAATGGCTCCTTCAAAGTAGCCCTGATATTATTTTCAAATCTTCCTATGAATCTTTGAGCAGTTACTTTAAATGCTTTAAAACCACAGTAGGAATTCCAAACTCATCTTGTGCTTCTCCTGCTGTGATCCTGGAATGAGCCTTTTCTCCAAGTAGTCCTGGTTTCATTCGTGGAGACAGGATTTTAGAAATCAAGATCTGATTGCAACATGTACAAAGCTTGACTGAAATCTCTGCAAAGATAATTGATCAATCAAGAGGTTCTTGTCTTTTTTCACTCCCTGCCATATTTGTAGTGCTGTTTGGGATAAGGAGAGTAAAGAGAAAATGAAGATCATTTTGTGAGTCTCATGCTAGTATTATTATGTATTATCTGCTGCATATGCTTACTCCTTAGTTTGCCCTGTTGAGTGGCTATTATTTTGAAACCTGTTGGTGCTAATAAGGAGCAGCTTAGATATTGTTTATTTTTTTCTCTCAATTTCATGAAATTTGGCTTATGCTTTTTCCATATTTTATGTAAATTATGAGGAACAAAACCCTCAAATTATCTGATTAATTTGAAGTTGGGCAAAACTAGTAAATATATCGGTCTTTTTGTTGACCCACATTGGTTGTTTTTCAGAGGGAGAACAACGGAAGCCTTCTCTAAAAGGTTTAAATCATTCTTTATACTTTTCCTCAACTTCAAGGATTCTGAACTTTTCTTTTGATCTGTTCTATTCCTTGCTTCCTCAAATTTAAGCTTTTTTTTTTTTTTACATATTTTTTCTCCTTCCCCTTTTCTTTCAAGCTATGACATAGAGCCATTAAAAGAATGAGGAAAAAGTTCCTCGTAAGTATTACATTTGTACTTGTCCCCCATTTGGCCTTAGAATTCTTGTTGTCACCATGGTGAAATTAAGTACATCTTGAAATGTGTTGTAAGTCAGGATTGCAAAAAAAAAAAAAAAAAAAAAAAAAAATGCCCCTGTTTATGGGAGGATATGAGTAAATAGTGGGATAATTATAAAAGTAACCATCCATCTGAAACCAGCTTCCACATTGAAAGCCATAGAGGTTGAGAGGTTTCCTAATCTAAAAATCTGAAATCTTCAATACTTCAAAACACAGACCATTTTCACCACCAACATGATGCCACACGTAGAAAATTCTACCTTTACCTCATGACGGTGACACTCAAACCCAGGCCCACTAAAAATATTATTTAAATTATCTTTAGACTGCATAGAAGGTAGACATGAAACATACATGAATTATGTGTTTAGACTTGGGACCCATCCCTAAGATATCTCATCATGTATATGCAAATATGCCACACTCAAAAAAAAAAAAAATAGAAATCTGAAACACTTTGGGTCCCAAGCATTTTGGGTAAGGATTGATTAACCTCTATTTTTGAATGGTATCATAATTCTAAAAAGCAAAGGCCAAAATAGTTTCTGGCTTCTTGAAATGTGTCATAATTCAGGATTGAAAAAAACACTCTTGCATATGAGCGGAAATGATTTTCCACAGGTTTCTGAGAAAAGTTTCACAAAGGATTTGTGATTTGAAGGGATGAATAGGAATAAGCCATGTGGGGAAAGGATATGTGATGTGCATAAATAAGAAAAAATTGGCATATTCAGGACTATGAGGAAGGAGTTTGTTATGGTTTTATCATAAGGTAAAAGGGAGAATGGTACAAGGGTATGTGAGAGATTCAAGTGAAAGACAAGCGTAAGCCAAATCTTGAAGTTCCTGAAGTACAGTGTGGAGTCATTTAGTTAACTCTATTCTTTAGGGCGTGGGAATTAGTGAAAGTATTTTGAAGCATGTTCAGAATGTTAACATAGAAGTTTCATAACGTGCTCTCTTTGTGTTTTTAAATTTACAGTTCTGGTTGGTTTTGGCAGTGATGGCATGGACTAATGAGAATGCATTAATCTAAACAATAAGATCTTATAATTTTTGACTCTGTGTAGTCTAACTTAGTGATTTTTCTGGGTTTATATCTGTACAGTTTCTTTGACATTTTGACAAGTTCTAGGATAGAGCTTTGTACTTAGTCTTTTCTTCAGAAAGTGAATTTTAAAGTAAACTAGCAAATTTAAAATTATTCAACAAATAAATAGAATTACTATTTTCATAAAATTGATATCTTTTAAAAGTTTATTTTATAGCTATGGCATAATTAAAATGGGCAGTATTTTTAATGTTTACATTTTATTTGACATGAAAGAAGCTAAGTAGCATAATTAAGTAGTATTATGATCTTGAAATAATTTGATATATATAAGCAATCTTTTATCTTTGGACATTTTTTCCAAGAATAATTACTTCTTTTTTTTTTAAAATCACTTCTTGATATTTACATCTTGAAAAGTTTTTCTTGAGCAGAATGAGCGACATAAAGTTTTATTGAGATATAATTCATATGGCATAAAATTCAACTGCTTAAATTTTAAAGTTAAGCAGTTTTTAGTATTTCACAAAGTTTGTTAACCATCACTTCCATGTAATTCGTGAACATTTTTATCACCCCCAAATAGAAACTCTGTAACTGATAGCAGTCATTTCACATTCTACCCATCCTAGCACACAGCTCCAAGGAGCCTCTAATCTACTTTCTTTTTTTCTAGATTTGCCTGTTTTGAACATTTGATATAAATATTTCTTACATGCTTTGTTTTTTTGTTTGTTTTGTTTTTGTTTTTTGTTAATGGGCTTCCTTAGCATAATGTTTTAATTTTATGGAATGTATCTGTAATTCATTCCTTTTTATTGCTGAAAAATATTCCATTAGGTGTATGTATTATCTTTTATTAATCCATTCACGAATGATTAGATATTTAGGTCGTTTCTACTTTTTGACTATCATGAATAATGCCACTATTGAACATTTGTCAACAAAATTTTATGTAGGTTTATATTCTACTTCTCTTTCGAGTGGAATTTCTGAGTCATGTGGTAACTCCATATTTAACCTCTTGAGAAATTGCCAAACTGTCTCCCAAAGTGGCTGTACTATTTTTCAGTTGTACTATTTTTCAGTCTCTCCGCATCCTTGCCAAAACTTGCTGTTTACCAGTCTGTTTGGTTATAACTATCCTGGTGGATATGAGGTATTATCTCAGTGTTTTAATTTTCATTTCCCTAATGACTAGGGATGTTGAACATCTTTTCAGGTGCTTATTGTCTTTTTGTTTATCTTCTTTTCAGAAATATCTTTGGATATTTGTCTTTTGTTGAGACATGAGTGTATATATGTGTGTGTGTGTGTGTGTGTGTATACGTTTTTTTTTTTTTCCCTAGATACCAGACCCGTGTTAGATAAATAATTGCAAATATTTCCTTCCATTCTGTGGGTTGTCTTTTCTTTTCTTTTCTTGTACCAAGGCTTGAACCCAGGGGTGCTTAACCACTGAGCCACATTCATACCCTTCTAAATATTTTATTTAGAGACATGGTCTCTCTGAGTTGCTTAGGGCCTCACTAAGTTGCTGAGGTTGGTTTTGAACTGGTGATCTTCCTGTCTTGGCCTCCTGAGCTGCTGTATTACAGGCATGCGTTGCCATGCCTGGAGGTTGTCTCTTGGTAGCTTTTAGAGCTCCACTATTTTAAAAATTTTTGTTGAGATTCAGTTTATCAATTTTTCTCTTTTGTTGCTTTTTCCTTTGAAGTCATATTTAAGAATTCAATGCTTAAGCCAAAAATTATGAATATTTCTATATTATAAGAGTTTTATAGATTTATGGTTTTAGCACTTACATTTACTCTGCAATTCATGTTGAATTAATCCTAGTATAAGGTATAAAGAAGGAGTCTAGCTTCATTTTTCTGCAGTATTTGTTGAAAAGAAAATTTTTCTTTTTTGAAATGTTTGGTAAATTGTTTAGTCTTCGGTAAAATTTACATAACATAAAATTAATTATTTTAAAGTATATGATTCAGGGGAGCTGGGGTTGTGGCTCAGCGGTAGAGCACTTGCCTAGCATGTGTGAGGCACTGGGTTCAATCCTTGGCACCACATAAAAATAAATAAACAAAATAAAGGCATTGTGTCCATCTACAACTAAAAAAAAAATTTTTTTTAAGTATATAATTCGGTGGCATCTAGTGTATCTACAGTGTTGTGCATTCACCACATCTATCTAGTTCTAACTTTGTGAGTGTACTAAACCAGATTGAATGAAACATTTTCATTATCCAAAAGAAAACACTAAATAGTAATTCCCAGTTTCCCCTTCCCCTCAGGCCCTAACAGCCACCAATCAACTCTCTTGACTCTCTATATTTATCTATTCAGGATATTCATATAAAAGGAATCAGACAATATGTAGCCTTTTGTGTTTGGCTTCATTCACCAGCATGTTTTCAAGGTTCATTACATTGCATGAATGTATTAGTATTAGTATTCCGTTCCTTTTGTGAATGAATACTATCCCATTATGGAGATAACACCATGTTTTGTTTATTCATTCATCTGTTGATGACTACTTGGATTTTAATGTCTTGTTTTTTTTTTTTTTAATGCTATTACTACAAGACTGCCCCCCACCCAAGTACTGGGTGTTGTTGGGAAATTTACCACTGAACTATATCCATGTCCCCTTTTGTTTTATTTTGAGACAGGGTCTCACAAGGTTGACCAGACTGGCCTTGAACTTGCTATCCTCCTGCCTTAGCCTCCAGAGTAGATGGGATTACAGGCATTGTGAGATTTTTGACCTTATATGTTAGCATTTTTCTTTAGTTATAAATTCATAAATAGAATGAACAAAAAGGAAGAGCCATTCTTTCCATTCTTTATTAAGAAGAATAGCATACATATGCAACAGTTTTCTGTTTATGACAGAAAAACTTGGTAAATATGAGAGCCCTCCACTCATTACTTATTTTAGAGCTCTCATACTTTATAAGTGGCTTCATATATACTCTTTCACTTAAACCTTACAGGAACATTAAGAACACCAGGTAGGGCATTTTGAAAATCGTTCTCATTTTACAAACAACAGTGCTGATGATTGTAACTTACTCAAAGTTATACTGCAAATAAATGGCAGAATCTGATGGACCTGAACCTCTTTTCCTTTGTTCTTTTCTGAGAATAAAATGTTCCTACACTAATAACTTCAGCTATTATGCTGAAGTTAGATATATTATTTGATACATCTAATTCTCATGGCTATCCAAAGTTATTCAGTGAAAGATAATTATGCATATATATCACAGTTCAAAAATCAATCTAAAGCATAGTTTAAACCCCACTTGTAACATTTGTGCTTCAAGCCGAGGATAACCTCTATATCACAGAATTTTGTCACTTTGAAATAGACTTTGGTTTGTCTCAAATAACAAGATTTCTAATAAAAGAGAGCGGCCATATGAATTTTCTGTATTAGATATTCTGGTGTTTTGACTTAGAATAATTGTAAGTTCCCAATAAAATATTCGCTGAGTGAGTGAATGAAAGAAATACATTCTACTGTCCATGTGCCTGATCTCCAGATTTCATCATAAATTGCCATTCAACTTTCCTCCTCACCTTACAGGTTTTGAATAAATATAAACTATAAAAAATCTTGTTGTATAATTCTTATATTTATTAAAATTCCTTTCATTTATGTTATTAAATATGTCAGCTATTATTTACTCCCCATTCTGCAGATGAATAAATTGAGGCACAGAACAGCTTAGTAATACATAAGGAAGCAACACAAGCCAAACAGCTGTGCTGAGTTTTAAAAGTCATTAAAATTTAGCTATCTTAAAATATTGCAATACTAATAATATGCATTTAATAGCTTGAGATTTAGTGGACATAATCTTTAAGGTGTGGATATATTAATACTTCTGTCAACCTAAAATGTATTTTTGTGTATTTGACAACTTTTTAAAATATTTTTTAGTTGTAGATGGATACAATACCTTTATTTATTTTTTATGTGGTGCTGAGGATCAAACCCAGTGCCTCACACATGCAAGATACGCATTCTACCACTGAGCCACAACCCCAGCCCCCGTTTGACAACTTTTAATAGTTTAATGTCTGTTCTCTAAGTTACCTGTATTTACCTCAATTTTATATCTACTCAACAGCTTCATATTCTCCCTTCTTCACACATTTTTCTTATTAACAAACTTTATATGTTTTTAAACATCAATCATTTTACTTTTTTACTAGAGTCAGGAATTTTCCTAGTTTAACACAAATCTCTTTTTCAAAATTGCCAGTGACTGCTGTGAAAGTTTCATTTTCAACTTAGCAGGTGTTTTGATTTTTCCTTTCAGGTGTTGACAGCTCTTCTACCACAAGCAGTGCTTCTCCAATGCCCAACAGTTATGATGCCCTGGAAGGAGGCAGCTACCCGGGTAACTTGTTTTATGCTTGCTTGATGTTCATTTTTAGTCATCAACTATCAATTGCTCTCAGACATGATCATGTATTATACATATTTAGTAGATTCTATTTTTACCAGAGAAAAGGGACATTTTCCTGGCATTCATATGACAACTATGAAGATTATTTCTAGAAGACCCGAAGAAATTTATTACTGTTATTTTTTGTTAGCTTCCTTTTTCCAAAGATATTTAATAGTGTATAATTTTCAACCATATCTGGAAATAACTATTCATTACATAAGAATACATAAATAGTGGAAAGTATTAAAGGAACTAGTGAATTAACTTATAATTAATAGTCATTTTATTATTATATTTATACTATGGTTTTCCTTAGTCTCCTATCTCCTTTCTGACAACCTAACAAGCACCAGACCTTTTTCTTTCTCTCTCCCCCTCTCTCTCTTTGTTCCTAATGATTTCAAACTTCATGACTAACATATCAAGTAAGTCTGATATACATCTTTGTTTCTTATCACTTTGATTAATCTAGGACAGAGCATAACTGAAGTTGGAATGTTCTGTAATTCACACAGTACCCACTATTGTTATGGTAGGAATTAGTAGAAAACTTTAATCTCAGCTTAGTATAAAGTCCCTCATACTTCTTGAAGAATACCTGAATAAACTATTCAGTCCTTGTGGCTAGGGAATCAGTAGTTGTGTGTTTGTAAGAAGTTATAAACCACTCCAAGAGCAACCACTATTAACAAAAGTCATAGGGGAATTACTTCATTCACTAAAAGATGAATACTACAACTCTTTAGTATTTTGTGAGCTCTCAATTAACCTGAAGGGAAAAGTCCCTGTGGTATAGTTAAAACATCATGACCTTAGAGTCAGATATTGGTTTGTTTGTATTAATTCAATCAACAAATTCTAATCTTATAATGAATTGTGCTTTGACAGTATGTTAGTGATCTTGGACAAGTTTTCTAGCTATTTATACTGCACTAAAATGTGATAAATCTGTGAACACTAATAGTATCAAATGACTTGAAGTTTACTATATATCCAGTACTAGGATAGATCTTAGGAGTACAGAAATGTATGATGTATTATCCTTTCCTAAAAAAGGAGAGAATATTTAAACTTCGGTCTTCAAGACTCAATGTTTATTTCATATACTGATGATTGTTTTCATATTAAGGGATCCTTCTACCTCTGTTCCCATCATAAGCAGGTGATCTAAGGAATCTACACTGCATTGAAGTTATGACCCTTGAATAGTCAGGAAAAGATGATAGTAGAATGTTAAAGAATGCATCCTCAAAGTTAGAATCAACAAAGTGAATAGAAAGATGTGTTTCGTCAAGAAACTTTTTAAAAACAAATTAGGTTAGATGCTTTTCAGAATATGTTTTAGCAGAGTCTGATTGCTAATGGAGAGTACCATTTTTATTTGATAAAAATAAAATGATTACACATTACTGAGTTGACTTTAAAATAAGACTTCCAGTCAGTATACCAAAATGTTAATAATGGTTATATAGTAATTTTTTAAGAGTTTTTGTTGTTGTTATTTTTCCTGTGTATGATATTTAAATTATAAATAGTTTTATTCAAATTTGAGTTTTTGTTTTAAATTTTAATGAGGAAAAGAACACTCAGTAAACATTTTTTTTAATTTGGCATCTATTACATACCAGATATTGTTCTAGGAGCTGGACACTATTCTAGACACTCTCATTCTTTACTCATGGTTCACCTATGCAAATAACACAAACTTCTAGGAGATTGTGGAAATATGTCAGTCTTTCCATGAACATTATATAGAAATGGCAGGGTCAGATAAAAGACAACTTAGAAAAGAGTAGTAGATGCTCTTTGTTTTTTTTTTTTTTTTTTGCTTCTTAATCCTAATACTGCTAAGAGAATTAAAACAAAAAGATAGGATATATATATATATATATATATATATATATATATATATCTTATGTTTTATATATGTATATATAAAACATATACATGTTTGTATTATCTGGTAGAAGTACCAACTGAATGGCGAGGATGTGGGGAGAAAGGCACACTCATACATTGCTGGTGGGACTGCAAATTGGTGCAACCAATATGGAAAGCAGTATGGAGATTCCATGGAAAACTTGGAGTGGAGCCACCATTTGACCCAGCTATCCCACTTCTTGGTTTATACCCAAAAGACTTAAAAACAGCATACTATAATAACGTAGCCACATCAATGTTTATAGCAGCACGATTCACAATAGTAAAATTGTGGAACCAACCTAGATGCCCTTCAGTAGATGAATGGGTAAAGAAACCATGATATATATACACAGTGGAATATTATTCAGCATTAAAAGATAATAAAATTATGGCATTTGCAGGTAAATGGATGGAGTTGGAATATCATGCTAAGTGAAGTAAGCCAATCCCCCAAAACCCAATGCTGAATGTTTTCTCTAATAAGAGGATGCTAATCCATAATGGGGCTAGGGGAGTGGAGCATGGGAGGAATGGAGGAACTTTAGATAGGGCAAAGGGGAGAGAGGGGAAGGGAGAGGGCAGAGAGTAAGAAAGATGGAATGAGATGGACACCATTACCCAAAATACATGTATTAAGATACCAGAGACATGACAAATTGTGCTCTATATGTGTATTATGAATTGAAATGCATTCTGCTGTCATATATAACAAATTAGAATAAATAAATAAATTTTTAAAAAAGAAATACCAACTGAAAAACTTGGTGAAATTATTCAAAATATGGGATGGAACCATATGTAAAATGAGATTAGCAAAATATTGATAATGATTGAAGCTGGGTAATAGGCCTATAGACTTAACTTTGCTAATTAAATTTTTAAAAGTATACTTTAAGTTGCCTGCTCTATTAATAGGAAAATCATTTGTTTTTGGAATTTAATCTTAGAATTAAGGTTGAAGGATAAAAGGAAAGAAGAAAAGTAGGAGAGGCATTACAAAATTTAATTGATTTGGTATACAATTATCTGCCTTTGATTTAGTTTGATTTTCTTTGGTTCAGATTCTAATCTCTCTGTGTTTAAAATTTCTCATTGTAAAACATTCTGAAAAGAAAGGGGAAATGCCAAAGGTATGGCTCACCCAGGAATCAGGTCTTTATAGAGTCCTGATTTTCCCCTTTTTTGCCTTGGCTAGATGTGCATTCTTCCTCGGCCAGCAGCCCTGCTCCTGATCCAGCCCCTGAGCCTGATCCTGCTCCAGCTCCAGCGCCAGCACCAGCTCCTGCTGCTCCTCAGCCTTCAAAAATGGCTAAGCCTTTTGGCTATGGTTACCCAATTCTTCAGCCTGGTTATCAGAATGCTGCAGCACCACTTAATTCTGGAGTACATCCCAGTAGCCAAGGGTATTCTGGATTTCAGCAGTATCCTCAAGTATGTATATAATCTTCATGTACAGACATTGCATTTCTAAAATTTGTAAAACTTGTCACTTCTAATAAACCCCTGATGATCAAATTTTTAAAAAGGTTAAATCTAGATAAGGACATTCACTCTGATTTTTATTTTCTTGATTGTATCTTTAGTTTTCAGTCTGTAATACACAGGTGTTAATTTTATAGGCAGGGAATTAAAGTAAATGTTAAGTTTTTTGTTTTTTTTTTAATTCTATATTATTATGCTGGCATTCTCCATAGGAAATGACACAGGAGAATGTGGTTTAAAACTTACTCTAGTCTCTACCCTTCAGTTGAAGAACTCTTTATGGCATAGAACTGACCTGGTGAGAACCTTGGTGCAGGCACAAGCTCGTCAGTTCATGTGCTCATTGACTGCCGCCAGGACTGACTTTTCTGGAGCCACCTCTGGAAGATCATGTTATCTTAATCATATAAGAACAGTAGATATTTCACATTTATTGAGAGGAAATGACATATAGGGAAATGATTGAAATGATGTAAGCATTTCTACTTATAATAAACCATTGTTAGTAGATTAACCTTATAGAAATTTCATCTTATGGTGAACTAAGAATTAAACTTTGACATAGGAAAATCATTTGTTTTTGGAATTCAATCTTAGAATTAAGGTTGAAGGGTAAAAGGAAAGAAGAAAACTAGGAGAGGCATTGAAAAATTTTATTGATTTGGTATACAGTTATCTGCCTTTGGTTTTGTTAGGTTTTCTTTGGTTCATATGAAACACTGCATATTTCAGTCTCATCTGACTTGTACTGTACGTGAATTCCCATTTGGGATCATAATTTATTATTTATTTCTACACTTTAATGAGGAGAAAACCAAATTTAAAGAAAGGATTGGTTCTTAGAAATGTTGGGCAAGCAGATAAAACTTATTTTGTAAATGGTGTTCCATAATAGCCTTGGGCAAGACTCAGCAAACTATGACCACTGGGCCACATCTGACCTGCCCCCTATTTTTGTAATAACACTTTATTGGCATACAGCCATGCCCAGTCTTTTGTATAACTATCTATGATTGCTTTGGCGCCATAGTGAACAGAGCAGAGTAGTTGCACCCAAGATTGTGCCTTTCAAAGGTTTACAGTATTTACTGTCCAAGTACTATTAATCCATCTAAGATTTTATTTTGGTATATAATGTAAAGAATCAATCATTCCTTCCTACCCCATCCAAATGGTTATTCCTTAGTTCACTGTCATTTATTTGAAAATCTTCTCTTACTGATTGAATATCCCATCTTTATTTATCTCTTAAATGCTAAACTTGAATCCACTTTTGAGCTTTCCCTTATATACTGTTACTGACCCATGTGGTCTTTTTCCCTTTATCCTTTACAGCTCTATTGAAAACTTTTTTTTAATTATCCAGTTGTTTTTTTCCTTGACTTCAACAGCTTCAGTTACTTTCAACATTTTGCTAGACTTCTTTTCATCTATCTCCCCATTTCCTTTTCTTCCTAAGGACTTTGAAGCTCTTGGGGGAAGGTGGTCATTTTTGCATAACCACAATAACACTATCACAGCCAACAAAATTAATAACTTCTAAATGCCATTTAAAATTCAGTGCGTATTTAAATTTCCCTAGCTATTTTAAAAATACCTTTTCACACTTTGTTTATACAAATGAATATTTGTTTATTTTATTATTTGAACTTGTTTATGTGTCATGCTTTTCATTGTAATTTAAAACATTTCTATTCATGCCTTTGATCTAATGGGAAAACTGGGTCAGTTATCCTATAGAATGTCCCGTATTTTGAACTTGACTCATTGCTTCCTTGTATCATTTAACTTTTCCTCTGATCCATATTTCTGATATTTTTTAGAAGTTAAATCTAATAGTTTCATAATATTTAGGTTTATTACTTCATGTATTTATTCATTTACGTGAGAATATGATATATTTAATGATTTATGCCTCATAATGATATCTGGTTGTACCACTTGTAGTGCTAGGATTAATTAGAGCATCATTTGATGACCTCTTTATCACTGTATTACGCAGTTTATTACATTACGCTTTTACCTATTGGCTTTGTTATCTGTTGATATGTAGGTATTATCTATTCTAGGTGACCATTACCTGAATTATTTCAGGATGGGTGGTAAATAGTGACTTTCCTAAAATTATCATACAGTATGTATTAGCTGGAATTCTGAAGTATATTCACATAATGGAGCACTTGGTACCTGTATAGAGAAATGTGGGAGATCTCTAAATGTAGCCACAGAATTATTGCCAGGACTTTTTCTTGGATTAAAAAAATAGGGCCATAGTTGGAACAGTATATATTAATTTTATATTAATAAATATAAATAATGGCAGGATTAAATAAAAAATAATAATAAATAGTTAACTATAGGTAGAGAGGTTAAAAATGAAATAAAATATCTCTGGATACACTTGATTATGATGTTTTGGCATTAAAATTATATAAATATCTTTACTGAAACTTATTAAGTCAAGAAAGATTAAAAGCAGTTCTTAAAGATTAAAAACAACATTATCAAATCAGATACATTTGAGACACAGGAACAGAAAAATTAAGCAAAGCAAAACCCATTGAACACCATTGTATATTTCTATGGCATCATCTCAGTTTTTTAAAAGTGTTAATTGATAAAACTTGAAAACAAGTAAGCATTTATCCTGCCTGTCCATTTCAGCTGTATTCAGGGAAACCACATTCTTGATGTTGAATGGCATGTTTGCTGAAATATTGTTGTGAGACTTAACTTTGCTAATTAGATTTTTAAAAGTATACTTTAAGTTGCCTGCTCTATTAAGTCATTCTGCTGTTCTCAAGACAAATTTAAATTTTCTTACCTTCTTGATTTTTTCTTTTTGTTGAACTCCTATGTCTGGTATATGAAATTTGATTCACATTTGTTCTATTGTTCTTTTGTTTTGTTTTGATTTTGATCTTTCAGCAGTATCCTGGTGTCAACCAGCTGTCCTCTGGTCTAGGAGGGTTGAGTCTTCAGAGTTCTCCACAACCAGAAAGCCTGAGACCTATAAACCTCACTCAGGAGAGGAATGTTTTACCCATGACTCCTGTTTGGCCTCCTGTGCCTAACTTGAACTTAGAACTCAAAAAGCTAAACTGTAGCCCAGAGTAGGTATTCATTTCTTTTATAATCTTTCTTTATGTAATATACCTTAATGAAAACATTGTATGACTTTTAAAAATAGCTGAGCTGATGGCACATGCCTGTAATCTTACCTACTTGAGATTTTTTAAAAATTTTTTAAAAAATATGTATTTATTTTTTTTAGGTGTAGGTGGACACAACACAATGCCTTTATTTTTATGTGGTGCTGAGGATCGAACCCGGGTCCCGCCCACCCTAGGCTAACGCTCTACCTCTGAGCCACAATCCCAGCCCGCTACTTGAGATTTTGAGGCAGGAGGATCACAAGTTCCAGGCCAGCCTGAGTAAATTAGTAAGATCTTGTCTCAAAGTAAAATTTAAATAAAAGTAGGGGTAGGGATGTAGCTCAGTGGCAGAGGATCCTTGGGTTCAATCCCCAGTACTGAAAAAAAGGTAAAAGTAATATGGCATTAACTTCCTGACTGGAAGTTCATGTGGACTTTTTTATTTCACTTTGTATAGAAATAGATGTAAAATTTAGTTTAAATTATCTGAGTTATCTCTTCCTCTTCCCATCTCTGTCTTAAACCTATCCCTTTCCCCCATCATCTTATGTGAGGCAAATTATCTGTTTTTGAATGAAGGGTTTCAGTAATCCAAATGTAACTAGAGTTTTTCTTTTCTTAAATCTCTTTTTCACCACTGTTTGTCAGTACTAACTTCTGATATTTTTTAGTAAGTTGGAATCTTTAAAATTTTATTCCCTTCTTCAGGCTTAGCTTGAAAAGGAAACAGACCTCACTTGTGAAATCCCAAGAATAGATTAGATAAGGTTTATCTCTGATTTTTCTTTTCCTACTCGATATAGAATATGAAGACCATTAACCCCCAGGCTTATTGATCCAGCCTGAATTTAAACTTGAACTTCCTTCATCGAATGTTTCCTTAACTCCTAGAGAAGTTTAGCTGGCAGACTATACATGGCAGCCTCCAAGTCTTGGTGATTTGTCTGTGTGGATAGTCCAACTAGCTCCTGTCTTGGGGCCTCCCAGACCACCTCCTAGATCAGATGTTCTTGCTTCTGAGAATAGGTTATTCCTCTGGCCCATATCATTTGGGGGGTGGGGGCAGATCATTTTTAGAAGACATCCTCCTGCTCTGGATTTCTTCGCCTCACAAAGTAAGCTCTGATTCACAGAACATCATTGTCTTCTTCCTTGTATTTGGGTTAGGAAAATGAGTTCTCTCTTTTAGAACCATTATTTTCCTTTTCTTAAGGCAGTAGTTTCCAAGCATTGCAGGGGGGGAAAAAAAAACCTCCTTTTTCACCAAAGTCTTGTATAGAATTCAAATATTGAAAACAAAGTGAAATTTCTTCGAGGGTTTCCTCGCCTCTCATTCATACCTCATGCTATCACCAACATTAGTGACTAAAGCAGTGCTACAATCTATTCTATAAAAGCATAGGGCATCTTGGATTAGAGACTGACAACAGCTGCCCATCCTTTTGAGTGTAAGCTGCTATCATGGTGATTATGGCCTTGTATTATGAAAGGTTAGGCTTTTCTTAAGTAGATAAATAAAGTATGTATAAGAGATCCCATAGGTAGGGGAGTGGTGTATATGTTTCCTGCTTGGTTATGTGTGTGTGTGTGTGTGTGTGTGTGTTTTTAATATTTCTTATCAAAATAAGAACAAGTAATTGGTAGCACGGGCTTTAAAGTTGGACAAACTTAAGTTCTTACTGAGGTTCCACTAGTAAGTAGGTAGCTACAATACAGTACAACAACTTTTTTAACCTCTCAAAGTCTCAGTATTGTCAACTATAAAACAGGAATACAGGTTAAGTATATCTTATCCAAATACTTGTGGACCCAAGTATTTGCACAGACTTTACTGCTCGAGCGTCCCTAATCCAAAAATTAAATTCTTCAGTATCTGCAACTTTTTAAGCATCATCTTTATTCAAAGTTTCAAATTTTGGAGTATTTTAGAATTCATGTTTTTGGATTAAAAATCTTCAAACCTGTAATAACCTACATATTAAGATAAATCATCAATTCAATAAATATTTACTGAATACCAAGTTAATTAAGCACAAGTCACTGTTTCCATGTATTTGGGATAGAGTTGTAAATAAGCAAAGTTCTTGATCCTCATGGAATTAGAAAACTTACATTAGTGAAACACAGGGTTATGTGAGTGCTAGAGGGTACTTGTCTTAGCTGAGAAGTCTGTAATTAGGTTTTCACAAAGAGATAACATTTGAGTATAGGTCTGCATGGAGACAGCAAGCCACAGGACTTCTGGGAAGATTGTTCCAAGGTGTCCAACCAGCAAAGGAAGTCCTGAAGTGGGAATAAGCTTGGCATTTTTGGAGAACAGGGCTAAGCCTGGAGTAGATAGATCTCTCTACACAATGTTATCTGCTCTTCTTAAATACCTTTTCTGGTTTCCACTGCTACTTACTTCTTTGGCTGTTCCTTTATTGATTCTTTCTCTGTTAACTTTAACTTATAACTCACTAACTTATAAGCAATCATTCTGTGAAGGAAACAGCAGAAGGTAGAGGAAGTCCACAGCCAACCAAGGCAAGTCAGACTAATTGATAGCACTGAAGCTTAAGCCTGTCTCAGAGCAGAGAAAGAAGTTTTTGCTTCTGATATGGGGAATGAAGAGGCAAAGGAGTATTCAGAAACAGTGATAACTTTGATGAGTCCTGTAGTAAGAGTGACAGTCTAGTCAGGTGAAAGGGGGACAGTGAAGCAGGAACAGCATTGTTAGAGACAAAAGAAGTCTGGCTTTTCATTCATGTTTCCTGGAGCTTTTTGTTCATGTCCTACTGGCTAATATAATAGGCTCTTGTTTTTTTGTTTTTTTTTTCCTGAATGTGTTTTGCTTTGCCATCATGAAAATGTTGACTCCTTAATTTAGGTCTTTTGACATCTATTACATATATGCCTGTTTAAAGTAATCGGGACCTCCCTGCTTCATTTTAGTTTTTTGCTATACTGGGAATTGAACTCAGTGCCTCACATATGCTAGGCAAGTGCTATATCACCAAGTTATATCTCCAGAACACTGCTTTTAGTTATAATAACATGCTCAAATGATTTTCAGTTATGCCCTTAAATGTTTTTAATTATCCCATCTACTTCATCGTATTTTTTTCCTAACAGCTTATGTCCTCCATGTTGTTTGTTTTTTGCAGTTCATTTCGGTGTACTTTGACAAATATTCCACAGACTCAGGCTTTACTGAATAAAGCTAAGCTTCCCTTAGGATTGTTGTTACATCCCTTCAGAGACCTAACGGTAAAGTGACATATTTTAAAATATTTTGAGTAATGACAAGTGCTTATGTACAAGGTATTCAAATTTTGTATTTTCTCAAGAGTTTTCATCATTGTTTATTTGGAGTTCGAAATAATCATTTCTGCCAATTTAAGTCAACAAACATTTTCTGAGCAACTGCTTTGTATCATACCCTAAGCTAAGCCCTGATCACATCATTGACCTTACCCACATGAAGAAACAAATCGTTATATGTAGTACTATAAATACATGTAATTAATCAAATCTATGTGATGTTTTTATTGTGAATACAGTGTAAGAAGTGATTCCCTCTTTGTATAGTAAAGTTTTCTATAACTGATGGAAAGTCCCAAGTGTGTTTTGAAAGATTAGTCATTTTGGAAGTAAAAGGCAGATTAAATCTTATGAGTTCTTTATTAAAGTGATTTCCAGTTAGAGAAGAGAACTATATAATTGTTCCAAATTAAGCAAATAATGGGAAAATCTGAACACTTCAGGTTGTGTTGAGTTAAAATTTATGTGTTGTTTAAGTTTCTGCAGTCCATTTGGTTTAATGCATAGCTGGCTAGATTTTTACGTGTGCTTCAGGTATTTCATGCATATGTGTTGTATTTAAACTACATTTTTAAAACCTCAGAAAAAATATTAGCCCAGAGACATTTTATTTTTACTTCACAAATTGCATTTCTCCCTCACACTTTTTTACTACTATGATTTTCTACCCCTCCTATTGCTACAGATTTCTTTTTCTCTCGGTTAATTATCTGCCTATCTAATACTAGATGCTGGAGATACAAAGGTCACTCATCTTCCTTGTGGACCTTACTTTTCTTCTAGGATGTACAGAATGGATCAAAGTGAATAAAAAGTGAGATAATTCTATGTGATAAATACCTTGAATTTATTCATTCAGTAAATACTATTTAATCACCTATGATTACAACCTTTATCTCTAAGCCAAGACAGTCAATTTGCTATATCCATAGATAAGAGTAGTTCTCTAAATACAGATTCCACATATGATATCTTCTAGAAGTGCGTACACTAAAATATTAACGTAATATTCTCTAGTATATAGAATTATGGGTCATTTTTTTATTTTCTCACTTTCAGTTAATTGTATTTCCTGATTTTTTTTCACACCTGATCTGTAGCTACTTATGTAATAAAAATAGCGTATATGGGCTGAACGTGCTGGTACACAACTGTATAATCCCGACTACTTGGGAGACTGAGGCAGGAGGATCACGAGGTCAAGGCCAGCCACAGCAGCATAGTGAGAGACCCAGTCTCAAAATAAAAAATAAAAGGGCTGGGGATATAGCTCAGTGGTAGAGTACCCCTTGGTTCAATCCCAGGTCTGTCTTTCTCTCCCCCCTTCACCCCTCTCCTCTCTCTTTCGTATGCATGTACACATATGCACACAACAGTATAAGTGAAAAAATCTTAAATACAAAGATAATGATTTTGTGTAGATTTTTTAAAATTCTGAGTGAAAAATACAAAAGAAATAATAAGTTAATTCAGAGATATAGAATAAGCTATGATCTCTTAATTTATTCCCATTTTCTTAATTTATACATTGAATATAAAGTTCCTTTCCCAAACTAAGCATAGTATTTTTTAATTTAATGTACATTGTGTTTGGATTCTTGTGGCCTCAGTTCTCATTAGGACTGCTGTCACTGTCCACCAAGCACTGCTTGCTAGCTAGTAGTACCAGGAACAGCCAGACAAAGGCCTTCTTACGTGGTATATGTTTCTTTCTCACTGTTATTTCCTGAGTCTAGCTGATGAACTGTAGCTTGTATTATTTTCTTGGCCAAAGTTTTCTTGTCAGCTAGTTATTTTATCAGATTTGGTGTGACTTTGTTTTCATATTAAGATTTGTGATGAGAGGAGAGAAAACTTGACAGTTGCTTATGTTGCTCAGCTCATCACTGAATGTAATAATACTCTTCAATATAAAACCATACAAAGACACAGTTCGGTTTCTATTCTATGTGTGAGCAGAGCAGTGGGTGTTCTGTTTCTCCCTAGGGTGCTTTTGTTGCTACAACATTTTTATTTTCTTTTCTAGCAATTACCAGTAATAACATCAAATACCATTGTGAGGTGCCGATCTTGTCGAACATACATCAACCCCTTTGTGTCCTTCATTGATCAACGTAGATGGAAATGCAACTTGTGCTATAGAGTTAATGATGGTGAGATTCTTAAAATGTTTCTTAATATTATTCTCAACATTTTAGTCAATTCTCTCATTGCTTTAAAAACAACTTTGATGCTATTTTTTTTAAATAGAGAGAGAGAATTTTTTAATATTTATTTTCAGTTTTCAGTGGATACAACATCTTTATTTTATTTTTATGTGGTGCTGAGGATCGAACCCAGCGCCCCGCGCGTGCCAGGCAAGTGCATTACCGCTTGAGCCACATCCCCAGACTATCATGCTACTTTTAATGGCAAGAATGTGAGCTGGGGCACCTTTACCAGTGTGTGTGGACACTTACATGCATCACGTCTGTTGCCCCCTGTGCTCATATGTTAGGTCTCCCTATGATAATTGCTTTCAAATTGGCATTTCTGATGTTTTCTATGTCATAGAATATAATAAATAAGAAACAAGTCTAAGAAACCAGTTATCTGTGTACTGGTTTCTTCACATGATTTCAGAAAATATGGTTTTGGTGGTTGTTTTTATTAAAGCCAGCTTACAGAATTTATTGTTATCATTAAATGTTCACAGAATTGTTGGCAAACATCCTCAGACAGTGATGATAAAGATGTTTAAATCTAGGCATGTTACTAAATTCATACTGGATTCCTATTTCTTGTTTAGTTCCTGAAGAATTTATGTATAACCCCCTCACTCGATCTTATGGAGAACCTCATAAACGACCAGAAGTTCAGAATTCAACTGTGGAATTCATTGCTTCTTCAGATTACATGGTAACTGTTCCAGGCTAAAATTAGTCATGGGACACAATTATATTGGTCATTTGATTTCTGTTAGGTAAATTTTAAAAAAATATATATTTTTAGTTGTAGATGGACATAATACCTTTATTTTACTTATTTATTTTTATGTGGTACTGAGGATCGGAATCCAGGGCCTCACACATGCTAGACAATTGCTCTACCACTGAGCTTCAACCCCAGCCCATGTTTTGTGAATTTTTGTCCAAGTTTTTAATGCATAGTGTTTTTTTAAATAATGGTGAAAGTTTTTACTTAAAAATTAGCAAGTTCTTCCTAAATGTTATTTGATCTCCTAGAAGAATATATTATGCCATTGAAAAACTCTACCTGTTTTTTAATTATGTTGACTCTATATCTTATTCTTCATTTTCACTTATAAAAATTATTTTTTAACCTAAGTCCTTGCTCTTCTTCTTTGTAATATATTCTTGTTTTTAATATATCTATAATAACTATCTTCTAATCTTAATTGCCTGCAGAAATTCAAATTCATTGTCTGCTAATGGAGGAAGGTGAACAGGAACACTTGATAAGCAGTAAATTCCTGGTGCTTGGCCCATCTTTATTTTTGTCATTTTTATAGTCTTTTATTTTAATTTAGCCTGTGCTGACTTAGGTACAGTTCTCGTGTCTATTTCCATGTAAACTTGCTTATGATTACTTTCAGCTTTTTACCTTTATAATTTAGTATGTTCTGAACTCTATTTTAGGTTTTTAATCTAACTGAAGTGGTGAAGCAAGAAATAAATCTTTAATTTTTGTCATATGATTCATATGACCTTTGGTTGACTTGTTTTTTTTTTTAAAGACTTTATGAGTTGGTAGTGTAGTTGGTGGTAGAGCATTTGCCTAGCATGCATGAGGCCTTGGGGTCAAATCCTCAGCACCTCAAAAAAAAGACGTTATTTATGATTTTATAACTTTCCACACCAGTTATTTTTAAGCGTACTCTAAAAAGAGAAAATAGTATAATGAACTATTGTTTACCCGTGACTGAGCTACATTTGTCAACTTTTTGCCAAATATATTTCATTTTTATCCAGCCTACCCCTTCACTTTCCCTAGAGTTTATCATGTTAAATGATAATATCAGATATCATGTCACCCATAAATACATCAGTATATATCTCAATGACAAGAGAAAGCCTTTATAAATATGTATACACAAGGATTTCCTTTATATTTAGCATTTAACCTATGGAATTTGGCCACTACCAGGTGACCTAGTAGTTAGTACTAACAGCAGGTCTTCAGGTTATATTTTAGCCAACATTCCTTATCTGGAATACATTTAAACCATCTATTTAACCATTACAACTCTCTAATCACGCTTAATCTACAAGGAACTTTGCAAGAAGGAATGTCATTTTCATTAGCACATAAGAGCTTATAAATAGCAATCCTATTTGGGTGTTTTTTGGTATAATATACTCAATAGATATTCAGCAGTAATAGTGATTAAAAAAAAGAATAGGTTGTACCCACTAAATAAACTACATTATTTTTTTTCTTTCAGCTTCGTCCTCCTCAACCTGCAGTTTACTTGTTTGTTTTAGATGTATCTCATAATGCAGTGGAAGCTGGGTATTTGACAATTTTGTGCCAGTCACTATTAGAAAACTTAGACAAGTAAGAATATTTTTTTGCTCATAATATCGTGTCTGTAAATAATATGTAAGTGTGAAGTATTTATTACTAATTTAAAGTGTTGTTTTTGTTAACCTTGTATTTTCCTAAAAACAAAGTACTTCCTGTTTACCATAGAATAAGGGTCCTTCTACTTCAGTTATGATGATTTAATGACTTGGTAACCTCAATCATAAAAATTTTAATACTTAGTAAAGAATTTAGATCTTGTCTAGTTTTCCCTCTGACTTAGCTGACCTGAACACTGGTCAAATTCCATAGAATTCCAACACAGAAAGCCTAACTTGGCCAGAATATCAAGAATCTATATGAGACTATTATCAAACATGGCTGAACTGAAAGAACATTATGTTAAGTGATATAAGGCAGGCACTGAAAGATAAATACCACATGATTTCACTCATATTTGGAATATTTAAAAATTGATTTCATATGAGTAGGATGGTGGTTACCAGAGGCTAGGATGTCAGTGGGGTGTGGAGTTGGGATATTTTGGTCTAAAGACACAAAATTTCACTTAGAAGGAGAACATTCAAGAGATTTATCATACAGTATGCTGTCCATATTTGTAACAATATATTATATTCTTGAAAAACACTTAAGAGCAAATCTGAGACATTCTCACCACAAAAATGATATCTTTATGAGGGAATACCTATGTTAATTAACTAGGTTTGGTCAATCCACAATTTAAAATTTAAAAATAAATTTAAAAGATTTTTCAAAGAATCTAGATGAGGAGGGGGGGTGGAGTTGTGGCTCAGTAGTCGAGTGCTTGCCTGGCATGTGAGGCCCTGGGTTCGATCCTCAGCACCACATGAAAATAGGTAAATAAAAACAAAGGTATTATATCCAACTGTAACTAAACAAACAAAAAAATTTAAAAGATAATAATCTATATGAGAGAAATATACCTATAATTTATGCCTGAGCATGGAATTTTACTTTTTTTTTTTTTTTTTGTACTTTTAGATGGACAGAATGCCTTTATTTTATTTGTTTATTTGTATGTGGTGCTGAGGATTGAACCCAGGGCCTCACACATGCTAGGAAAGTACTGTGCCACTGAGCTATAGCCCCAGCCCCACATAAGCTATTTTTTATTGCACTAATGTGAGAATGAGTTGAAGAAAAGGGAGGAGGGAACTGATTTTGTGCTAAATATGTTAGGAAACCAGGACAATCCTTTTCGTTTTAGCACATTAGTAAACAACCATGTTGTGGAAATAGGAACAGAGTACAGGCTAAGTAGTTTATGTGTGGCTCATAATTCCTTCCTGTGTGTCTACCAATGTTAATTGTGAAGGACTTCCTCAACTAGCTTTAAAAAGTATACATTTCTCTGGGAACAAAGTTGTTTGTACATTTCTTTTTCATTCCAATATCCATAAGAGATAATGATTTAAGATTGTTAATGAGAGTGGTACACTACTACAGTGTTTTGTTGTTGTTGTTGTTTGGTTGGTTTTTGTTTTTTTTTATTTTTAGTATTTTTAGTTGTAGATGGACACAATACCTTTACTTAGTTATTTTATCTATTTATGTGATGCTGAGCCTCTAGTCCAGTGCCTCACACATGCGAGGCAAGTGCTCCACCACTGAGTTACAACTCCAGCCCACTACAGTATATCTTTATACATACTTTGTCAGGAGTACAATGGGTAATTCCAAAAAGTTCTCCCCCATCTTTATTTGAACTTGGGAGTCTTTCAAATGCTACAAGTAGACACTATATATTTTTATTATATTTTTATCATTGGTTTAAATGTTTACCTTATTTAATCACAAGGGCTTATGTTAGAAATAGCTTTAACACCAAGTAGCAAAAGACCACACTGAATAAAAATGTTTGATCTTTTTTAACAAGAAGTTTGTTTTTTTGTTTGTTTGTTTGTTCTTTTTAGATATATGTGATAGTAGAATGTGTTTTGGCATACATACATGGAGTATAACTTGCCATTCTTTTTTTGAGGTGGGAGGTACCCGGGATTGAACTCAGGGGCACTTGACCACTGAGCCACATCCGCAGCCCTATTTTATATTTTATTTAGAGACAGGGTCTCACTGAGTTGTTTAGTGCCTCCCTTTTGCTGAGGCTGGCTTTGAACTCTTGATCCTCCTGCCTCAGCCTCTGAGCCACTGGGATTACAGGTGTGTGCCACCGAACCACGCTCAGCTAACTTCCCATTCTTGTGGTTGTACATGATGTAGAGTTACACTGGTCATGTATTCATACATGAATATAAGAAAGTTATGTCCTATTCATTCTACTGTCTTTCCTATTCTCAACCCTGTAACCTTCCTTTCATTCCCTTTTGTCTAATCCAATGAACTTCTCTTCTTTGCTCCCCTCCCCCATTGTGTGTTAGATTCACATATCAGGGAGAACATTCGGCCTTTGGTTTTTTTGCAACTGGCTTATTTTACCTAGCATGATGGTCTCTAGTTTCATTCATTTACTGTATATACACCACTTTTTTTAAATCCATTCATTTGTTGAAGGGCATATTAGCTATTGTGAAATGAGCTGCTATAAACATTGATGGGACTGCTTCACTGTAGTATGCTGATATTAAGTCCTTTGGGTATATGCTGAGGAGTGGGATAACTGGGTCCAAATGGTGATTCCATTCTAGTAAACACCAAATTTTAATTCCTCTCAAGGATATAATGCTTCTGGAGGTACCACAATACCAGAATTGTTCATGGAGTAATGGAACAAGCTGTCTTCCATCTCCTTGTTCTAGTAATCCACTTAACTATATTGTTCTCAGAAAAGAAAGAGCCACTGACAAAAATGAGTGACTTTATAAATTAAAAGATTACAAAACCAGAAGGATAATATTGACGATAGAAAGTGTTTTAAAAATATTTGCATTTGATTACAATGGAAAATAGAAGACTTAAGAAAATTAGAAAAGAATAGTAAAGGTAATAGGACAGCAACAGTATAGTAACATAGTTTTAGAAAGGGTTCTGCAAACATCTTTGAGAAAGAAGAGTTTGATGCTGCAGCAGCTCCTGCTAAACTTCATATATTTTGAGTTGGGGGGTGGATCAGCAATCTCCGAGTAACTGATAATAAATGACCCTAAATATAAGTGACCAGAGAAATCTCAAAGAAGTGGAAATTGGTGTTTGGCAACATCATAAATCTTGACTAGTACTGATAAGCCAAATATGTGCCTTCTGTTCACTGGAATTCTTTTAGCCTACCTTGCAGACTGAGTAGCGTGATTGATCATCTTTAGTAATAAGAATTCTTCTTGCTTTGAAGCACATTCTAGTTTGGCATCTTATAATATTCAGAAGTATTTTAAAGCATTGCTAAAAGAATAAATTACATAACTGCAGTTAACATAGTTGGTGGTACTTATTGAAATATGCATCTATAAAATGAGGCATCCATCATGGTATTAATAAGGGAAGCTTGACAGATGATGAAATGGTAATTTACTTTTTTATTCCATGGCATTGCCTTTTGAAACATTTCTAATAGAAAAATTTTTAATAATTGATGATAGATAAATGTTTGAATGTTCTTAACTGTGTTTTTTGTTTAAAATTTAGCACATTGAAATCTAATTTGCATTGCACTCAACCTTTTCTTGAAAAGTGTTCTTTTGTCGTTCCACCCTTAAAAGGCTTAAAAAGGATCCAGTGTTGTAATATGTGAACTGAAAAATTATGTTTTCACTTAAAAGAGTATGTTTCAAAGAAAAGTTAGCAAGAAATCTTTACATTTTAAAAATAAATTCATTTTTAGTTTTGGTTTACCCTTTATTTGAATACTAATGTAGTTCAGTTTTCTGAATTATAAATTCTAATCATATAGTGGTTTCATCTGAAAACAAAATATTTCCTTCTTCCTCTTCTATTTTATGTACGGGTTTAGATTGAGATAATTTTTCTATTGCCTATAAAATTATCCTTAGACATGGCTTACTATTTATTTTTTTAAAAAATAAAATGTTACTGAGCATTTGTCAATTTATCAATAATTTTATCTTTAGGCTTCCTGGAGATTCACGGACAAGAATAGGATTCATGACCTTTGACAGCACTATTCATTTCTATAATTTACAGGAAGGATTATCACAGCCTCAAATGTTGATTGTATCTGATATTGATGGTAAGCAGTCAGCAAAATTAAAGTGTTTCTAACTACAGGCTTTGAAATGGAGGCTTCTTTAACAGTACATCTTGTCATATGCTATGGAGATAATTTAGTCCATTTTGATACTTGCTTTAAAATGTTTTCTTGAAGCTGGGTACAGTGGTGCATATCTATAATCCCAGCCACTCAGGAGGCTGAGGCAGGAGAATCACAAGTTTGAGGCCAGCCTCAGCATTTCAGTCAGACTTCAAGCAACTTAGCAAGATCTTGTCTCAAATCAAAAAATTTTAAAAAGGCTGGGATGTGTCTTAGTGGTTAAGTGCCCCTGGGTTCAATCCCTGGTACAAAAAAAAAGTTTTCTTGGAAATACTTTAAAGTTTCTTACATATTACTAAATATGTTTTTACATGTGTATATGTATGTATAGTATGTACAGAGTATATGTATTTAATAATGCATTGTTTTATGTTTTCCCTGTAGATGTTTTTCTACCTACTCCAGATAGTCTACTTGTGAATCTCTATGAAAGTAAAGAGGTGAGATTGATTTATTTTCTTAAAACATCAAACTATTTTTGTCATCTCCACTGTTTACTAGATATTAATATTTGTTTACTTGATATATTAATATTAGACAATAAGCATTGGTATGTGACACGTCTATTGACTCTTCTATAGTCCCCGGAGATGTAGTGACACATACCATACTCTGGAATGTTTTAAAGAAGAACATTGCCTTGCCTTCTCAGTAATTCAACGTTTAATCTTTGTTTTCCCAGCTTATAAAAGACTTATTGAATGCATTACCAAATATGTTCACCAATACAAGAGAAACACACAGTGCCCTTGGTCCTGCGCTTCAGGCTGCCTTTAAATTAATGTCTCCAACAGGTGGCCGTGTGTCTGTATTTCAGACACAGTTACCTTCCTTGGGTGCAGGGCTTCTGCAGTCCAGAGAAGATCCTAATCAAAGGTCAAGTACAAAGGTATTTTATGTTTAGTTTCTCTGTTATATCCCCTTGTGTTTTCTACCTATTACAGACTATAATTATTTGTTCTTTATTCTATTTTTCATTTGTAATGGTAATAAGCTAGCAAGAGAGTGGAACTCAAATTATTTTGTGTTGCAGTGCATTCTTCTTATTTGTTTTCAAGCCAAAAATATTTAGAAATCATTTAGTCTAATCTTTTCATTTTACAAATGAGGAAACAGATTAAAGTGTCCTGCCAGAGGTTAAATAACTAATGGTAAAGATGTGGCATGATTTCCTGACTCCTGTGTTCTTTTCTGTTATACAAGGGAAAACTTACTAGATCTGAGTTGCTATAATTTAGCATGCTTATCCTAAAACATTTGTAATTATAAAGATAATACCTATTATTATATAAAACCTGGAAAATAGAGGAATATATAATTAACTAATAATCTCACTAACAAGATTAGCATTGTTAGTACAAACAAATAAGCATAATTGGGCATCATATATAAATACATATTATATTTTTTAGCTGGCCTTTCTCATGAATATTATTTGAGGTTCCTAAAACTCTTAAAAATATATACATCTTGGTAAATGGGAAAGTACTTAATTTAACTATTCAATGGCTGGGTGCCAAGTAATCAGACCTTCCTTTTACACTTTTTTGTTGTAGAATAGCACATAATACTGATTTAACAGTATTTACTCATCAGATTTCTTGAATTTTTAATCTAGCATTTACCACTCAATAACTGTATAAACCTGATAAAGTTATTTGGCTTTTGCCCTAGTTTTCTCATCTGTTAAAGGTAAATCATTAAAACCCTTTGAGAATTGTGTTATGTATAATATATATTTAATTTATGTAAAATCTCTGGCACAGAAAGTCCCTTTTTTTTTTCTCCCCACATTTTTAATGGTGTATTATAGTTGAACATAATGTTGAGCTTTGTTGTTATATATTCTGCATGCACACAGTATAACAATATAATTTGGTCAGTATCACTCCCTAGTACTTCCTCCTTCCTTCTACATCTCCCACCCTTGGACCCCATCTTCTACTGCTCTCCCTAGATTTTCATGAGATTCCCCACCCTGACTTTCCACCTTTCTTTTCCTTTTTATGACTGAATAAAACTCCATACATATCACATTTTCTTTATCCATTTATCCACTGATGGATACTTACGTTAGTTCCATAGTTTGCTTGTTGAGAGTTGCGGTGCTATAAACATGAGTATTCATGTATCACTATAGTATGATGATTTTAATTCTTCAGGGATTAAATACTGAGAAGTGGTATATATAACTGGGTCATATGGTGGTTCCTTGCCTAGTTTTTTAAGAACCTCCATACTGATTTCCATAGTGGTTGTACTAATTTACAATCCCACCACCAGTGTAAATGTTTTTTTCCCACCACATTACCTGCAGAATTTATTACTGTTTTTGTTCGTGACGACTGCCATTCTGACTGGTGTGAGATGAAATCTCATTGTAGTTTTGATTTGCATTTCCCTAATTGCTAATAATGTTGAACATTTTTTATATATATGTTTGTTAGCTATTTGTATCTACAGAACTTTTTATAAATATTAGCTGTTGTTATAGGAAATCTGTGCCACCTGTCTAGACCTTGTTTTTAAAAACTCATTAGTTTGGTAGTGAGGCAGCAGATGTCCTCTTCCTTAATTATAATAGATGCATACAAACATGTGCATAGTTAAAACCCTCTGACTCTTACCTTATGATCTGTTGGCTCAGGTGGTACAACATCTTGGCCCTGCAACTGATTTTTATAAGAAACTTGCTTTGGATTGCTCAGGACAGCAAACTGCAGTGGATTTGTTCCTTTTAAGTTCACAGTATTCTGATCTTGCTTCTCTAGGTAAGAATATGTTGTAATGGTTATCTATTTACCTAAACACTTTAGTATATTATTAAATCCAAACTCTTAGTAAGCTTTCTCAATATTTTTTGGGAAAGCATGTGATTTAGATAAATATGAAGATTATCAGTAAACTTTAAAGCCCCATACAAATATAAAATGCCATTAGTATTTTGTTTATATGATTCCCTTACCATTCTGCTTAACTTTATTGTATATTTTATAAATACTTTTGTTTTCTCAGATTTAAGTGTTATTCTTACTTTGACAACTTAAGCTTTCTTATTATTTATATTCATAATATAGCATCTGTACTACTGTACAAGTAGAATATTATTGCTTCTAAAGAAAATACTTTCTGTATTTCTCTCTAAAGCTTGTATGTCCAAGTATTCTGCAGGGTGCATCTATTATTATCCATCTTTCCACCATACTCACAATCCTTCACAGGCAGAAAAGTTACAAAAAGACCTAAAACGATATCTCACAAGAAAAATTGGATTTGAAGCCGTTATGAGAATAAGGTGTACTAAAGGTATGCATATCAAATTTTGCCTTACATTACATATATCAAAATGAGTGAGCATTCATATATTGACTACCAGTGATGATGATTATTCATTGTAGAACTTGGTGTTTGATCCACTAGGTTATACACTGTTTTAAGTCAACATATATTTGTGAGTAGCCATTGTGCAGTTTTTTAAGATAATTTGTCTAAGTGGGTAAAAATAATGTTTTGGTTTATTTAGGAAGAACCTAAGAGAAAGTCCATATTGCAAATGATTTGAGGAGAATTAGGGGAATAGGGAAGATCTTAAATGAAATCTTTAAGGATCCTTGCCTTTATTAACACATAATTTATGTTTCATTGGTATTTTATGTGATTGTTTACTGACAGGACTATGATCCCTTATTTTAAATCTAAAAGGAGTTGTACAGTAATCCTGAATTATTTAGTTTTATATATTAGGTTTATGTCTCCAGGTCACCCATGAAACATAGTAATAAGATTAAGTATCAATACAAGTTAAACATATAGTCTCACTTTTATATAACCTGCATTGGATTTTTTAATTAGTATTTTAGAGCCTCTGTCAGCACTCCAACCTTACTCCCTAGTTAACCTTTGCTTCAAAATCAGAGGCATCTTTAACTTTAAAACAAAACTAGCTTGAGGTGAAGATACTGGTATTACTTCGTCTTTTTATATCAGGTTTTTCTTTCTTAGGTCTTTCAATGCATACTTTTCATGGAAACTTCTTTGTGCGTTCCACTGATTTGTTATCCCTTGCCAATATCAATCCTGATGCTGGGTTTGCAGTGCAATTGTCAATTGAAGAAAGTTTGACAGATACTTCCTTAGTGTGCTTCCAAACAGCCCTGTTATATACATCAAGCAAAGGTAATGTTATCTGAAATGTTTTCATGTTCTCTTCAGTAGATGGGGGGTTGGGGGGAGATGAATTCAAACTGTGAAGTAGTGGAATTTGCATTAATCCAGTATATGTTCTATTATTTTCTCTCCTTTTTTTAACTCTCCTTTTGAATCTTCAGATAATACCTTTTTTTTTTAGTTTGTGGAAAACTTGTAGGATCCTATATGTTTCTCATAAGCACCTCATGCTAAATCCAGTTATGCCATCCTTTGTATTGTTTTGCCCCATAAAATGAACTATGTAGTAATTAAGGCCTTTATTTGTTATTTGACAATCTGCATTTTCTGATATTTTATTTTATTTGTATAATTTGTTGATTTATCTATTTATTTTTGGTATCAGGAATTGAACCTAAGGGTGCTTAATCACTGAATGACATCCCCAACCCTTTTTTTTTCCCCTCTCATTTTTTATTTTGAGACAGAGTCTTGCTAGATTGCTGAGGCTGGTCTTGAACTTAAGTTCCTTCTACTTCAACCTTCCAAATTACTGGGATTACAGGCATGTGCCACCACACCCAGCTTGTATTGGGAATAATTTAGCATGAGTGACATTAAAATAAAATCAGGCCTAATGTTCAGCTTTGTGCAACATGTAGTATAATGTTCATGATCTACAGACTTGGAGAGTCTTTTAATTTTCTTTAAAACACATTTTTACATTTCAGAATCCTATTGGTAATTTAATATAGCCAAACCAGTATTTGAATAAGATTTTGACCTGTTTGCCTTATTTCTTTCTTAACTTAATGTATTATACAATGACAGTTATTCTTCATTTTCTCTAGGTGAACGCAGAATTAGAGTGCATACACTTTGTTTGCCAGTGGTAAGTTCGCTAGCAGATGTATATGCAGGAGTAGATGTACAAGCTGCCATCTGCCTCCTAGCAAACATGGGTGAGTAGAAAGGGGAGGAGCAGGCAAAATATAGTTTTGTATTCTAAAAACTGGAGCTGAGGGTTTTTTTTTTTTTTTTAAGCTTTGTACTCTCTCATTTAAAAAGTATGTATTTTGCATTTTCATTTACTTGCAAGAAGAGTAAGACTGTTTTTAAAAAACCTAAATGCCATTCAACTAATGAATGTGTGAATAAACTGATACATCTTTACAATGGAGTATAGCTCAGTATGAAAGGTAATGAACTATCATTACTTAGACTAATAAATAACATGATGATTCTCAGAGACATTATGTTGAGGGAAAGAAGCTAGTCTCAAAAGACCACATCCATATAATTCTATTTACATGACATTCAAAAAGGGAAAATTATCTAGTGGAGAATAGATCAGTAGTTACCAGGACTGGGGACAGGGAGAAGGTTTTACTGCAAAGGTGCCTATAGGGAGATATTTTTAGGGTGATAGGACTCTTGTATATTTTATTGTGGTAGTGATTATATGGCTATGCATTTGACACATAACCACCATAGAACTATAGTCAAAAATAAATTTTACTGTTAGTGAATTTTAAAAATTCATTAGGGAATTAATTTACTACTGAGTGTTTGAACAAATTTTCCTTATTTATAAATTTAGACATAAAAAGAGCCTTGCTATTTTCCATATAGTCCTGGAGAAAACAGTGGTTACTCACTTGAGAAAAATTATAATAGAATTAATTTTTTTTAATATTTATTTTTTTTTAGTTTTCGGCAGACACAACATCTTTGTTTGTATGTGATGCTGAGGATCGAACCCGGGCTGCACGCATGCCAGGCAAGCGTGCTACCCAGCCCCAGAATTAATTATAATAGCACTAAAAGAGTCCCTTCTTTATGTAGTTCTGGGGATTAAACTCAGGCCTTGTGCATGCTGGCAAGTACTCTACCACTGAACTATATATGCTCAGCCTGGGGTCACAATTTTTTTTTTGGAATATTTATTTTTTAGTTGTAGTCAGACACAATACCTTTATCTTATTTATTTTTTTATGTGGTACTAAGGATCAAACCCAGGGCCTCGCACATGCTAGGCGAGTATTCTACTGCTGAGCCACAACCCCATCCCTATCCCTGGGATCACAATTTTTAAAGAGTCATTTTACATGTAGATTTTTAATTATTTATACTATAATTGATTACTTTTCATTGTATTTTATTTTTTTAAGTATTTGGGCACATTTTTAGATTATTTTAATTTAATAGATTATTTTAATAAAATATGTTCTTAGAAGAAAAAGTTTCACATTGATATTTGTCTCTTTAATGTCTATATGAAAACCCAAATTCAGTTGGCCCTCTTTTTTTTTTTTTAATTGGTTGATCTGAAATGTTTTGCAAAGATCATTAGAGATCACTAGAGATGACTTACAGTATGAAATTTGTATTGGTTGTATAGGGGAAAAAATGCTGTTTTTAACATGTGTTTTCCATTTCAGTAATGGAAACATCTTAAAAGGAACATATGTTCTCTAATATCAGTAATGTTTAAGTGTTTTTAGATTTAAAAGATTAAAACACAGTCTAAAAGTATCTAGACTTATTCTGATTATCAGATTTACTCAGATTTTAATTCAGAAAAAATGTGTAACGAGGAGATGCTTAAAATGAGAAAACAGATGAAATGCATTTTGTTTGTTTCTTAAATAATGCATAAATACTTTATCTTTTGTAGTGTTTCTTGGAAACTAATGGAATCTAATGATTAAACACCTTTTCTTTTGGGTTGCTTTATAGCTGTGGATCGATCAGTTTCATCAAGTCTGTCAGATGCAAGAGATGCCTTAGTGAATGCTGTAGTGGATTCACTGTCTGCCTATGGCTCTACTGTCTCAAATTTGCAGCACTCTGCATTGATAGCACCTGGCTCCCTCAAGTTGTTTCCTCTCTACGTTTTAGCCCTTCTCAAACAGGTAGCTCTGTATATGTTGTTGTATTTAATGAAGTTTTTAAAAATTCTCAGATACATATGTAAATAGATGAAGTCTAGGTGGTTATAATCTTTTAATACTTAGAGGGTGATGTACTTGAGCATTGGAAGTGTTTCGAAAAAAATAGGGGAAAAATCAATGGAAAATGAAGGCAGACAAATACATTATGACTCTTGTGAAACCATATACTCTTTCTTTAATATGTGTGAATAGTTTGAAGAATGAAGTGGTCATAGCCAACTCTTAGGAAAGGATCTAATATTTATTGAACATCTTTCCATTGACTCAGTCACTGTAATAGGTGCTGTGTACACATCATTTTTTAAACCTTCACACGATGACAATATAGGAAAGAGAAGCTAAGTAATTCATTTACATACCTATTAAGTGTCAGAGCTGTCTGATTTGAAAACATACTTCTTCCATTGTCCATAGTATATTTTTCTTTAGTATCTGTCCACTACCTTTATGTTTTCCTTAAAAACCTGTCTTTTTTCTTGTAGAAAGCATTTAGAACGGGTACAAGCACACGCCTGGATGATCGTGTGTATGCCATGTGTCAGATAAAGTCTCAGCCTCTTGTTCATCTAATGAAAATGATTCATCCCAACCTATATAGGATAGACAGATTGACAGATGAGGTATGCATCTTAGTGCATTTGAAATTGGTAAATTTGAGTATATTTGAGAGTCTATTTTATTGCTAAGATGATAATATATTATTGCAATTTCTTCCATTTCCTTTTTTTCCTATGGTAATAATACATTAAGGGATGGGGTTGTGGCTCAGTGGTAGAGCTCTTGTCTCACATGCATGAAGCACTGGGTTTGGTCTTCACCACAACATAAATAAATAAAATAAAGGTACTATGCCCATCTACAACTTAAAAAAAAGTCTTTAAAAAAAATAATAATGCACTAAATAAGGGACACTAGCTATGGACCTGAATAGGACTCTCAGATGTGAATATGGAGTTTTCAAAAGTATAGGAAATAACTTATTATTACAAAGCAAAGTTACATAATGGATATTTCTATTTATATATTGTAGACATTGGCAGTTTCTGATATGATCAGATTGTAGTATTGATTATGTAGTAAACTAAATCTAGTATCCAACAATAATTTTAATGTGGAAATGTGTAGACTCTTTCTTCTTCCTTGTGTTGAAACTATAGTCTTTGGAATTAGTATTCATCCTAAAATGATACTATGTTACTAAACAAATGTAAAGAAGTAGTTTGCTGTGCAGTCCTGTCAACAACCGTACTATTAATACATATTGACCCCAAAAGGAGTATAAACAGGACAGATCATTTTATTTATTTTACGTTTTTACTTTTTAAATTTGAATACATTGGGGTGTGTTAATTCTATAGCCAAAGTGGTATTGGTATGATCAATATTTTTGCATCCTAAAAAATTCTCAAGTGGGCCCTGGCACGGTGGTGCACATCTGTAATCCCGGCGGCTTGTGAGGCGAAGGCAGGAAGATCATGAGTTCAAAGCCAGCCTCAGCAATTTAGAGAAATGCTAAGCAACTAAAGGAGACCCTGCCTCTAATAAAAAAAAAAAAAAATACAAAATAGGGCTAGGGATGTGGCTCAATGGTTGAGTGCCCCTGAGTTCAATCCCTGATACCCAAAGACAAAAAAAAAAAAAATTCTCAAGTATCATATTTTAGTATTTCCTATAGTTTGTGGTCATTAGTTCCCACACTGTGTTGATAGTATTATTAACTCATTCACATTCTTCCTTTTCTTTTCAGGGTGCCATACATGTTAATGACAGGGTGGTACCTCAGCCACCTCTTCAAAAATTGTCTGCAGAGAAGCTTACAAGAGAAGGTGCTTTCCTTATGGACTGTGGCTCTGTAAGCATCTTTTACTTACAAAACTTCTCACTGTTTCTGCTGGTAAAGGGGGAAACTTTTACCAGGGTCTAGTTCTGTTATCACAGAGCAAGCAGTGAAAGGGAGATCGGGAGATATGATATAATAAATTGTTGACTGAGACAAGAAGTCAATTTACTTTAGACCTTTAGAGTTGGACATTATATTATTATCATAGATTAATAAGTTTTATTATCATGGAATTATGTGTACTTGGTAAAGAAGAGTAGAGAGATGAATTCTTGTTTTCAAGGACTTTACTATAAGAATCATAAAATTCAAAGGAACTCAAGAATTTATCTAGTTCAGCTTAACATCCATTATCAGAAATCCTGTTAATGATTAAAAGTCCAGCAGAGGAGCTGGGGTTGTGGCCCAGTGGTAGAGAACTCGTCTCGCACATGTGTGACCCCGAGTTCAGTCCTCATCACCACATAAAAATAAAAAGTGAAATAAAGGCATTGTATCCAACTACAATTAAAAAATAAATATTAAAAAAAAAAAAGAAGCAGTTTCTGCCAACCGTGCAAGCACTGTACTCAGTGCTGAATTCTGGGTTCGAGACGGGGGAAGGAAGCGGTCCATTTCGGTTCTCCACACCGGTCAGACCACAGAGGAGGCCAGCGGCCACCATCTTGGAGAGCTGACGTCACCATCCCTGTTTTCGACTGACCGCAGCTCATTCAGCCATAGAACAGGTAATTTCAGGCTGCCATTCGCCTGCGGCTTGCAGACAGATTACTTAGGCTCAGTGCCTGAGTGCTTCTTGGATCCTGCTCTTATCAGAGCATACACCAAGCATGGAGCGGCGGAGCTGCCCTGGCCCAGGGCTAAGGAGCCCACGGAAACTGCTTCTTGGAGCCTGCTCTTATCAGAGCATACAACGAGCACGGAGCAGCCGAGTTCCGGCTCCCGGAACTGCTCTGGCCCAGGGCTAAGGAACCCACGGAAACTGCTTCTCGGTCCGGGTCCTGCTGAGGGCCGGTCAGGACTCACCCGTTGCTTTGGTTACCCGGAAAAGGGAACAAAATGCTGCCATTTGCATAGGATACCAACATGGCAGAGATCTGATGCCATCAGAAAGCGGTGGAGGAGAGAACTTCATCAATACCAGCGGTGACAGAAACAGTTGGTCTCCTGGTAGGGAGGGTGAGGCACAGACACCCGAGTCTCTCTCGATTTGTCGTCGAGCCAGAGGGGAGGAGCCGGGCCGCCGCCCGCGCCCGGAGCAGGCCCAGCGGCTCACCGGCGTGGTGATCACGTGACCCCAATTGGAGAGGGGGCGGAGCGGAGCCACCACCCGCACCCGCAAGGTGGGCAGACCCGCGACCCAGTGGTACACGGGCGTGGTAGGAGGGGCAGGGCAGAGCCGCAGCCCGCGCCTGCAAGGTAAGCAGACCTGCGACAGACTGGTGGGTCAGGCCCAGCGGCCTGCCAGCGTGGTACACACGTCACCCCAATTGGAGTAGGGGCAGAGCAGAGTCGCTGCCCATGCCAGGAACAGGCCCAGCGACCTGCCGGCGTGGTAGTCACGACACCCCAATTGGAGTAGGGGCAGAGCAGAGCCGCCACCCTTGCCCAAAAGGTGGGCAGACCTGCGACCGACCAGCGGGACAGGCCCAGTGGCCTACCGGTGCGACAGACACGTCGCCCCATTTGGAGTAGGGGCAGAGCAGAGCCGCCGCCCACGCCTGCAGGGTAGGCAGACCTGCAACCGACCGGCGGATCAGGCCCGGTGGCCTGCTGGCGTGGTATACTCGTCACCCCAATTGGAGTAGGGGCAGAACAGAGCCGCCGCCCGCGCCCGGAACAGGCCCAGTGACCTGCCGGCGTGGTAGTCACGACACCCGAATTGGAGTAAGGAGAGAGCAGAGCCGCCGCCCGCGCCTGCAAGGTAGGCAGACCACCGCCTGACCCTGCAAGGGAGACTTTTCAACTATACAAGAGCAATATAAATATATAGGGGGAAAAAAACATTTCAAAAACACAACAGTTTCACCAACCAGAAAGAAACGCAAGCAGTATGAAAAGACAAGGAAAGAAAGGACCACAAGCAATGCAGGTCAACGCAACTTTAGAAGAGGTAACAGCTGCAGCAGATGGAATGTCAGATAAAGAATTCAGGATATACATGCTTCAGATGATCTGGAGTCTCAAGGAAGACATTAGACAGCAAAATCAGACAATGAAAGATCACTTCGACAATGAATTACACAAACAAATCCAGGAAGCAAAGAATCAACTATACAGGGAGATAGAGGTTATAAAAAACAAACAAACAGAAATCCTAGAAATGCAGGAAGCAATAAACCAACTTAAAAACTCAATGGAGAATACTGCCAGCAGAGTAGAACACTTAGAAGATACAACATCAGACAATGAAGACAAAGTATTTCAACTTGAAAAGAACATAGACAGCTCAGCAAGACTGTTAAGAAACCATGAGCAGAACATCCTAAAAATATGGGATAACATTAAGAGACCAAACTTAAGAGTCATTGGGATACAGGAAGGAAGAGAGGTCCAAACCAAAGGAATGAGCAATCTATTCAATGAAATAATATGAGAAAACTTCCCAGACTTGAAGAATGAGACAGAATCCCAAATCCTAGAAGCCTACAGGACGCCGAATGTGCAAAATCATAAGAGATCCACACCTAGACACATTATAATGAAGATGCCCAACATACAGAATAAGGAGAGAATTTTAAAAGCTACAAGAGAAAGGAAGCAGATTACATTTAGGGGTAAGCCAATCAGGATAACAGCTGATCTTTCAACACAGGCTCTGAACGCTAGAAGATCCTGGAATAACATATTTCAAACACTGAAAGAAAATGGGTTCCAACCAAGAATCGTGTATCCAGCGAAATTAAGCTTCAGGATGGAAGATGAAATTAAAACCTTCCACGATAAACAAAAGTTAAAAGAATTTGCAGCTAGAAAACCATCTCTTCAAAACATCCTCCGCAAAACATTACAGGAGGAGGAAATGGAAAATAACAATGAAAACCAACAGTGGGAGGTAGGACAGTAAAGGGGGGGGGAAATAATCAAAGAGGAAAACAAACCATGTTTAGTAACATAAATAAACAAATATGGCTGGAAGAACAACCCATATCTCAATAATAACCCTAAATGTTAATGGCTTAAACTCACCAATTAAGAGACACAGGCTAGTAGAATGGATCACAAAACAAGACCCAACAATATGCTGCCTACAGGAGATGCATTTGATAGGAAAAGACATACATAGACTGAAGGTGAAAGGTTGGGAAAAATCATATCACTCATATGGACTTCGGAAACAAGCAGGAGTGTCCATACTCATATCAAATAAAATAGATTTCAAGCCAAAGTTAATCAAAAGGGATAAAGAGGGACACTACATACTGCTCAAGGGAACCATACACCAACAAGACATAACAATCATAAATATATATACCCTAAACAATGGTGCAGCTATGTTCGTCAAACAAACTCTTCTCAAGTTCAAGAGTCTAATAGACCACCATACAGTAATCATGGGAGACTGCAACACAGCTCTCTCGGCACTGGACAGATCTTCCAAACAAAAGTTGAATAAGGAAACTATAGAACTCAATAACACAATTAATAACCTAGACTTAATTGACATATATAGAGTATACCACCCAACATCAAGCAGTTACACTTTTTTCTCAGCAGCACATGGATCCTTCTCAAAAATAGATCATATATTATGTCACAGGGCAACTCTTAGACAATATAAAGGAGTAGAGATTATTCCATGCATCTTATCTGATCATAATGGAATGAAACTGAAAATCAACAATAAAAGAAGGAAGGAAAAAGCATACATCACTTGGAGAATGAACAATAGGTTACTGAATGATCAATGGGTTATAGAAGACATCAAGGAGGAAATTAAAAAATTCTTAGAGATAAATGAAAACACAGACACAACATATCGGAATCTATGGGACACATTAAAAGCAGTTCAAGAGGAAAATTCATTGCTTGGAGTTCATTCCTTAAAAAAAGAAAAAAACCAACAAATAAATGATCTCATACTTCATCTCAAAATCCTAGAAAAAGAAGAGCAAAACAACAGCAAAAGAAGTAGAAGGCAAGAAATAATTAAAATCAGAGCTGAAATTAATGAAATCGAAACAATTGAAAAAATTGACAAAATTAAAATTTGGTTCTTTGAAGAAATAAACAAAATCGACAGACCCTTAGCCATGCTAGCGAAGAGAAGAGAGAGAACTCAAATTACTAGCATACGGGATGAAAAAGGCAATATCACAACAGACACTTCAGAAATACAGAAGATAATCAAAAATTATTTTGAATCCTTATACTCCAATAAATTAGAAGATAGTGAAGGCATCGATAAATTTCTTAAGTCATATGATCTTCCCAGATTGAGTCAGGAGTATATAGACAACCTAAACAGACCAATATCAATTGAGGAGATAGAAGAAACCATAAAAAGACTACCAACTAAGAAAAGCCCAGGACCGGATGAGTATACAGCAGTGGGTTTTACAAAACCTTTAGGTTTTACAAAACCTTTAAAGAGGAACTAATACCAATACTTTTCAAGCTACTTCAGGAAATAGAAAAACAGGGAGAACTTCCAAATTCATTCTACGAGGCCAACATCACCCTGATACCTAAACCAGACAAAGACACTTCATAGAAAGAAAACTACAGACCAATATCTCTAATGAACCTAGATGCAAAAATCCTCAATAAAATTCTGGCGAATCGGATACAAAAACATATCAAAAAAATTGTGCACCATGATCAAGTAGGATTCATCCCTGGGATGCAAGGCTGGTTCAATATATGGAAATCAATAAATGTTATTCACCACATCAATAGACTTAAAAATAAGAACCATATGATCATCTCGATAGATGCGGAAAAAGCATTCGACAAAGTACAGCATCCCTTTATGTTTAAAACTCTAGAAAAACTAGGGATAACAGGAACATACCTCAATATTGTAAAAGCAATCTATGCTAAGCCTCAGGCTAGCATCATTCTGAATGGAGAAAAATTGAAGGCATTCCCTCTACAATCTGGAACAAGACAGGGATGCCCTCTCTCTCCACTTGTGTTCAACATAATTCTCGAAACACTGGCCAGAGCAATTAGACAGACGAAAGAAATTAAAGGCATAAAAATAGGAAAAGAAGAACTTAAATTATCACTATTTGCAGAAGACATGATTCTATGCCTAGCAGACCCAAAAGGGTCTACAAAGAAACTACTAGAGCTAATAAATGAGTTCAGCAAAGTGGCAGGGTATAAAATCAACACGCATAAATCAAAGGCATTCCTGTATATCAGCGACAAATCCTCTGAAATGGAAATGAGGACAACCACTCCATTCACAATATCTTCAAAAAAAATAAAATACTTGGGAATCAACCTAACAAAAGAGGTGAAAGACTTATACAACGAAAACTACAGAACCCTAAAGAGAGAAATAGAAGAAGATCTTAGAAGATGGAAAAATATACCCTGTTCATGGATAGGCAGAACTAACATCATCAAAATGGCGATATTACCAAAAGTTCTCTATAGGTTTAATGCAATGCCAATCAAAATCCCAACGGCATTTCTTGTAGAAATAGAGAAAGCAATCATGAAATTCATATGGAAAAATAAAAGACCCAGAATAGCAAAAACAATGCTAAGCAGGAAGTGTGAATCAGGCGGTATAGCGATACCAGACTTCAAACTCTACAACAGAGCAATAGTAACAAAAACAGCATGGTACTGGTACCAAAACAGGCAGGTGGACCAATGGTACCGAATAGAGGACACAGAAACCAATCCACAAAACTACAACTATCTTATATTTGATAAAGGGGCTAAAAGCATGCAATGGAGGAAGGATAGCATCTTCAACAAATGGTGCTGGGAAAACTGGAAATCCATAAGCAACAAAATGAAACTGAATCCCTTTCTCTCGCCATGCACAAAAGTTAATTCAAAATGGATCAAGGAGCTTGATATCAAATCAGAGACACGCCGTCTGATAGAAGAAAAAGTTGGCTACCATCTACATTCGGTGGGGTCGGGCTCCAAATTCCTCAATAGGACACCCATAGCACAAAAGTTAATAACTAGAATCAACAAATGGGACTTACTCAAACTAAAAAGTTTTTTCTCAGCAAAAGAAACAATAAGAGAGGTAAATAGGGAGCCTACACCCTGGGAACAAATCTTTACTCCTCAAACTTCAGATAGAGCCCTAATATCCAGAGTATACAAAGAACTCAAAAAATTAGACAATAAGAAAACAAACAACCCAATCAACAAATGGGCCAAGGACCTGAACAGACACTTCTCAGAGGAGGACATACAGTCTATCAACAAGTACATGAAAAAATACTCACCATCTCTAGCTGTCAGAGAAATGCAAATCAAAACCACCCTAAGATACCATCTCACTCCAGTAAGATTGGCAGCCATTATGAAGTCAAACAACAACAAGTGCTGGCGAGGATGTGGGGAAAAGGGTACACTTGTACATTGCTGGTGGGACTGCAAATTGGTGCAGCCAATTTGGAAAGCAGTATGGAGATTTCTTGGAAAGCTGGGAATGGAACCACCATTTGACCCAGCTATTCCCCTTCTCGGTCTATTCCCTAAAGACCTAAAAAGAGCATGCTACAGGGACACTGCTGCATCGATGTTCATAGCAGCAAAATTCACAATAACAAGACTGTGGAACCAACCTAGATGCCCTTCAATAGACGAATGGATAAAAAAAATGTGGCATTTATACACAATGGAGTATTACTCTGCATTAAAAAATGACAAAATCATAGAATTTGCAGGGAAATGGATGGCATTAGAGCATATTATGCTAAGTGAAGCTAGCCAATCCCTAAAAAACAAATGCCAAATGTCTTCTTTGATATAAGGAGAGTAACTAAGAACAGAGTAGGGACGAAGAGCAGGAGAAGAAGATTAACATTAAACAGGGATGAGAGGTGAGAGGGAAAGGGAGAGAGAAGGGAAATTGCATGGAAATGGAAGGAGACCCTCAGGGTTATACAAAAGTCCATACAAGAGGAAGTGAGGGGAAAGGGAAAAATAATACAAGGAGGAGAAATGAATGACAGTAGAGGGGGTAGAGAGAGAAAAGGGGAGGGGAGGGGAGGGGAGGGGGGATAGTAGAGGATAGGAAAGGCAGCAGAACACAACAGACACTAGTATGGCAATATGTAAATCAATGGATGTGTAACTGATGTGATTCTGCAATCTGTATATGGGGTAAAAATGGGAGTTCATAACCCACTTGAATCAAAGTGTGAAATATGATATATCAAGAAATTTGTAATGTTTTGAACAACCAACAATAAAAAATTTAAAAAAAAAAAAGAGTCCAGGAGAGGTAACCATACAGTAGTAATGCTAAAGGATGTAGAATGGTCAGTGAAGCTTCAAAATGGTATCTTACGAGCAAGAAAAGGATTTAGATACCCACCGAAGAGGGGGAAAATTCTGGGGTTGAAATACAGAGATAGTAATTGAAATAGTGGATGGAAATATTCATAATAAGTTATCCTGATTAAAATGTTACATTCCTCCCAGGGAAATTAATGAGGAAGAAGGTAAAATATATTTTCTGAGAAGTCTTAAAATTTAGGCAAAGGAGATAAGAACTAGGTTCCTATTCTTGGATATAGATTTTCAATGTGCCAATTATAGATTTCTATCTTTTATGTCTGTTTCTACTGTATTTGAGATCGTATATTTGACCTCTTATACAGCATAGTTTTGAGAGAATTAACTATGATGGATTTTAAACTATTAGGGAGTTTTAATATTTTGCTTTTTTTTTTTTTTAAGGTTTTTTACATTTGGATTGGAAAAGGCTGTGACAATAACTTCATTGAGGATGTTCTTGGGTATCCTAATTTTGCATCAATACCACAGAAAATGGTCAGTGAGTGGGTAACTTTTTGTTTTTAACTTTTAAATTTTTTTTGTTATTTTGGAACGTTTCCATCAACACCCCCCGTGTCCCCCCCCCCCAAATTTAACTTCTTATTCTCCATTCCCCTTCTCCCTAGGCAACTATGAATCTCTTTTCCATTTGTGGATTTGCCTGGTTTGAATATTTTAAAGAAGTAGAATTACATAATAGGTGGTCTTTTGTGTTTGGTTTCTTTTACTTTCTTTTACATATTCAAGATTCATCCATGTGCTGACGTGTATTAAATTAATACCTAATTCTTTTTTATGACTGAAAAATATCAATTGTTGGCCATTTTAGTTGTTTCTATTTGGGGGCTTTTGTGAATAGCCCTACCATGAATGTTTGTGCTCATTTTTTTGTGTGTGGACATGTTTTCTGTGCTCTCAGTTATATATCTAAGAGTGAAATTGCTGGGTTATCTGATAACTTTCATGTTTAACTTTGTGAAGAACTGCCAGACTATTTCCCAACACATTTAAATTTTAAGTTATTTTGCTAGTAATAAACAAATATTTTTAAGTAGGTCTTTTCTGAATATATATGTTAACAAATACCAAGGAAATGTGATGCTGAAAGCAATTCTGTGTATTAATTTTAATTACCTTAGTCATGTTTTTGTAATTAACTAAAAGGAAGGTCTACCTTAGTCATGGATGTTATATATATGTGTGTGTCATTTTTGCTCAGATTAACATAAATTCATGGTAATAGTTGTCACAATCCATTGTTTATTGATTTTGTTTGTTTATTTTGACAAGTTAATCTCAGACTCATTTCTAAGATTCAGCAAGTGAGGATAGTTAGGAAACATTTGAAAAGGAATAATAATGTCAGCAGAAAAGGAACCATGAAAAATGAAAATGCTACTAAATAAATGGGAAGCCTTATTCTCAAGCTGTAGTTATTTAAACACTGTCATACTGGCACAATAAGCACATTAGTGGAACATAGTGTAGTGGATCAGAAATGGATCTCATTCATGAGAATGTGGTAAGATTGCATTTAAAACTACTGTGGAAAAAATGGAATATTGCAAAAATAATCTTGAGACCACTGAATAATTACAAGGCCTTTGTAAGCCAGTGATCTGAAAGATTAATAAAACATTTCTATTTGGTAATTTAAAAGTAAAGCCAAAAGACAATAAAATTGTATGAATATCTATAACTCAAGACTAAAAAGGGCTAACTTCTCTAGTATGAAAAGTGCTTAAGAAATGATTCCCACTCCCACCAAAAAAAAAGAAAAGAAAAATGGGTAAAAGATTTGAACAAACAATTCTCGGGGGGAAACATTATTGTAATGATCATATGAAACAACATTCAACCTCATTGTAATTAAGAAAAACAAAATAAAATAATAACAGCATTTCTTTTACCACCTCGACAAGATTTTTAAACCTTATTGGAGAGCCATTTGACAATATCTGTTTTTTGTTTTGTTCTGTTTTGTAGTTTTGGTACTGAGGATTGAAGGGCACTGAACTATGGAGCCACATCCCCAGCCCTATTTTGTATTTTATTTAGAGACAGGGTCTCACTGAGTTGCTTAGCACCTCGCCATTGCTGAGGCTGGCTTTGAACTCAATGATCCTCCTGTCTCAGCTTCCCCAGCTGCTGGAATTACAGGCATGCACTATCGCCTGTAAAATTATCTGTTAAAATTAAAATCACATACTGTATGACACAGTAAATTATTTTACTCCTAAAAATATATCCCATAGATGTATTTATAGAAATATATGTATGTACACACATTCTGTTTCATTAAATAAGTAATATCTATGTATTTATTAAATAATATCTATGTATTTATGAAAGAATAATCTGGGCTGGGGCCATAGCTCAGAGGTAAAGCGCTTGCCTAACATGTGTGAGGCCCTGCGTTTGATCCTCAGCACCACATAAAAATAAACAAAGTTATTGTGTCCATCTACAACTAGAAATAATTACAAAAACAAAAAATCTCAAGAGACTAGAATGCATAATATGATGCATTTGTAGTAATAGTAGCTATAAACACTTAGAAAATATCTGAAAATTTTTACATCAAAGTGGAATTTTTTTTGCTTTTTTAATTTTGACATTACAAATTTAATTAACCTAACTTTTCTATTTAAATTTTATTAAATACTATTATTTAGCTTACTATTAAGTTGGCTTTGTAAAAGAAAAATCTGTGTGTGTGTGTGTGTGTGTGTGTGTGTGTGTGTGTGGAAAATCATTAAAGGAATTTGGAACTTAGTGGAAGTCCCCTTCCTTTGAATGTTTCCATTAGAAGAAACAGTGCAACATACTACTATTCACATACCAATTGTGTGTTTTTTTTTTTTGTTGTTCTAATTAGTTTTACATGACAGAGTGCATTTTGACACATTGTACACAAATGGAGCACAACTTCTCATTCTTCTGGCTGTACATGGTGCAGAGTCACATCTATAGTGTCATACCAGTTATGCTTTATATATAGACTTATCTGTTTATTCAGGTTAAAATGTCATTTTTTTAACTTATCCAGAAAAATATAAACAGATTTTTCAGCAATTTAAATTTCATCTATGTGGCTGCTATTATTGGACTGGAGATAAGACTATAGGTAGTTTAGGTAGTTTAGATTAGTGGTAGTGGAAATCATGATTTAATTCTAATACTGCTAAAGTCTATGAGAAAGGAAATAATTTCCTAATTATATGTCTTTTACCAGACACATCTTCCAGAGCTAGATACACTTTCATCAGAACGGACCAGATCCTTTATAACTTGGCTTAAAGATGGCAGACCGTTAAGTGCAGTCCTTCATGTGGTAAAGTAAGTACTTCTATAATTTAATAAGAAGCTATCTTTTCCAGTGTGACTTTTGAAATTACTTGTCCTTAACGCAGCTTTAATGATATCAAAATATATTCTAGTGGTAGAGTGTTGTTACCTGATTAATAACATTTCCCAAAAGTCCTCATGTATCAGTGCTTCCTTAAATATATAATTATTCTTTTATATTATATATTTTTAGATAAATGCTTTTTTCTCTCTGTCAGAGATGAGAGTCCTGCCAAAACAGAATTTTTTCAACATTTGATTGAAGACCGGACAGAAGCTGCATTCTCTTACTATGAATTTTTGCTTCATGTACAGCAGCAAATATGTAAGTGAAGGAGAATAAAATTGAATAAGAAGAAAAAGATCCATAACTGAGGTAAAGCATAATCTGTCACAGAAGCACATAGGAAATTTGAAGTGAAAGCATTTGTTGTTATAAGAGACAATGCACAGCCCTCTGAGGTTTTGGCAAAACGTAAATGGGAAGAAGGAACTTGACTGATTTTCTTCAGCCTAAATTAATGGTAATGATGATGCTGTTTCAACAAGTATATTTTGAATTGGTTTCTACACATTTCCAGTAGTGCAGCAGTTCAGTGCTCTCTTCATTGCAAGCTGGCAAATTTACGTAGCTGTGTGGAATGTCATAATGTAAAATTAGATGAATTTTTTTTCTTATAATTAATATAACATTTCTGGACTTGAACTCTGACAAGAGATGCCAAAAGGCAGTGGTACCGTGTTATTTGTTTATATGAATTACTTTTTAACAAGGAATGATTCGTACTCATTAAATGAATTCAACATTTTCCCTGTAAAGACAATAGAGTTTCAGTACACAAACTATAGAAAAAAAAAAAATATATATATATATATATAATGTACATAAATGTTACATTTGTAAAGAAAATGTAAAAATGTAACTACAGAATATGAATTGCTTAAACTGTGCTGCATTGTTGGATGACAGCTCTTTTTGTCACAGTTGGAGAATGAGGTTGACTAATGCATATTATGAATTGAGTCCACAGAAACACAAACTCTTTGTAATTCTGTTAAATCTTTTATGTGGATTTATTTATGATCAGCCTACTAATTAAAAATATTTTGCTTGACAATTGGTTTGGTGGTTTTTTTTTTGTTGTTTTTTGTTTGTTTTTGTTTTTGTTGTTTGTGGGGTTTTTTTTGCTTTTATTTTTGTTTTGATGTGTGTTGTTTCTGTTTTTGTTTTTGTTTTAACATCTAGGATATACTAAATTTAATTATTGGGGGAAATGCAGCAATACTGCTTTTCAATTAGGAATACATGTGAATCAATAAATTTTCATTACTTTGTGGACATTTCCAAGTACTAACTTTTCCTTTGTATTCTTAAAAACAAATGGTGCTACTTCCAAAATACATTCAATTACAAAGTATAAATCTCAAATTGTCTTTGTCATTTAAATTGAGCATTTTTTCATGCATATTTATAACAAAATTTTAATAACATGACTGTCCTTTTTATTTAATTGACTTGATTACTGTCTGGAACTTAGAGAGTGATTTTACTCGGATCAAAAAAATCTCTTGAGCTAGGGATGTATCTTAGTGGTAGAATGCTTGCCTAATATGTATAAGGCCCTGGGTTTAATCTCCAGCACCTAGTAAAAAGAAGAAATTTCTGATCTACGTCAGCTTATTTATGAGAAAACTGTTAATGGTCCATTAGCTTAAAGAATAGAATTTTATTTTGTTCACTGCAAACATCCCTGTGATGAACTTTGCAAGGAAAAAAGGCACTCGTGTTTTGGTGAGTGATCTTCACTGGTTTTGTGTATCCCTTTGCTGTAGATAAAAATAAAAGTACTCTTACATTCCCTGATGGAAATGAGCAGTTAAATGACTCATCCTAAATGATATAATATTAAATAGTGACAGAGGCAACAATAAATGCCAAGTATTCTCCCCACCCAGTGATACGCCCCCCCACCCCCACCCCACCTCAGGACTGTACTTGTCCCCATACCATGCTGTCTCCAGCAAGAATCTTATTAAACTGCAGCAGAAACTGCAGTACCCCCAAGGACAAATAAATGCTTTTATATTACAACAAAAACTACAGTATTTCTACTTTAAGAAAAACAAATATTTTGCCTTTGGATATTCTGTCATTCATTGAATAATTTAAAAGCACTTAATACTTGTCAGATACCATTCCAGGCACAAAACAGAATCCTTACTTCCATGATGCTAATGCTCTGGTGCTGGAATGTGGAAGGCTGAGAGAGAAAAAATTCTATATAATTTGTCAAGTGCAATGAATATTGTGAAGAAAAATAAATCTGGGTAAGGGGATTGAGAATACAATTTTTCACAGTAACATAGAAGTCCCTTATGAAAAGAGAGCGGAGCAAAGACCTCAAGCCCTGTGAATATCTGGAAGACGAGGTTAAGAAGGAGGACTTTATGGCAGGTGAATGTGGAAGTTGTCTTCAGATTGCTCCCATTTTCTCTGTGAAAGACACTGCAAAGTTATTAGCAAAGAAATAGAAGTGTTAGTGATTTCATGAATTAGTCTGTAATAATAGTGAGATATTGGCTAGCGGTGTTCAGTAGGATTGTCAGACAATACTGCAGGCCCATCCTGGGATGAACTTAAAGCATTGCGTGTCTCTTCCCTTCAGCTACATTCAGTGCTTGGTGGAAAGTTGGATTTAATCAGGGTTGGTATAAGAAACAAGCCAGGACTTTGAGAAAGAGAGTGGCTAAAGGAACACAAACTAGAGAGAATAGGTAATAGTGAAAAATCAGTGAGCCCAGTGGTTTGGCGGTTCTGCTGAGGTCAAAAAGTTATTAGAGTACGGATAACAGAATGAACAAGCTGTAAAGAAAAGAAATAGTAGTAGTCAGATATGGGCCACTTGGAATTGAGATTGCAGGGGAAGGTTAAATATTGGCAATAAGACCTAGAGAATGTCCATGGGAGTGAGTATTGAGATGCTCTTAAAGATAACTAGAAGGGAAGAGGGCAGACATGGAGCCCAGGGTTTTAAATGAATTCTCTATTTGATTATTACAATTGTGCCCCAAAATGTCAGAAGTAGTGGTGATATGGGGACTGTAATGACTGTAGTAAGGAGTGGCAAGGCATATGATGTGGCAGGATAGCATAAAGCATGAAAGACCTAGGGAGAAAAAGGAGCAAGAATAATCCAGAAGCCTACAAACAAGCAATAAAGAGATACCTTCTTGAGATTTGGGATCAAAAATAGCCACTCCTGAAGCTGGAGTTGTAGCTCAGTGGTAGAGTGCTTTCCTAGCATGTGTGAGGCACTAAGTTCAATCCTCACCACCACATAAAAATAAGTAAAGGCATTTTGTCCATCTATAACTAAGAAAAAATTAAAAAAAAAATAGCCACTCTTTGAAAGGTTTGTAAGGAATAGTGTCCTGAGAGGACAGTCAGGTTTCAGTCAACATGTAGAGACTGACAAATCAGGGTATAGGCATGATTAAATCAATCCTGAAGAAAAATGATAAGCTATTCCTATTACCCCTTAATGGGATAAGTGTCTAGGCCAATTGCTTCGTGAGCCATACAAATACTGGGTGAGAGGAAAGGGTATGCTTGCCAGGAGTCCTCTTTTCAATTAGTTGACACTTCATTTAAAACTGGTTCTTTCTGAGTGTTGGTGCTGGGAATGAAAACAGAATTTCCTCCCCAGATCTGATATTCAACACCTGGGAAATGGCTTGACCATATATACATACTGTATTTTAGAAGAGTTTCTATGCATTATGTGTATGTAGTAAGTACTATTTGATGGCTATTATGGATATGACTCTATTGCAGGAAACTCATGAAGTCAGGAAATGCACAGCTGAGCAAAGTGTTTCATTAAGGAAACCATGAGCCCTCCTTTTCAAAGTGTTTTCCTCCAAAAATATTTCTGAAGAGAGAAAAAGAGGAAACTCATACAAAGTTGAAGAAAACCCTGCAGAAATTATCCAGATAGAATCACAAATTACTGAAAGAAAAGAGAATTCAAGGGGAAAAATAAAAGCAACACTCAAGCTTGGTTTGGAACATGCAAAAAATACCTGAAAAATAAAATGGTAGGAAGACATTTGATAATTAATTTCTCTTTGGTCTGAATTCAGAGACATGATCTGTATCTTCCTGCCTGCCTTTTGATGTGTATGAGAAGTAGGCAGGGGATGTATGTGTAGATGGCTTGAGTGGGGAAGGTAACCATCATCAGGAGACTCAAATTGTTATTGCGTTGCCTTTAATGGAACATGACCTGTTACAAAAATGAAAGACTTTTTTTTTTCCTTTTCTTTTTTTTTTTTTTTTTTTTTTAGTTTCAATTATTGAACAATAATGTACAGCTTTGTAGACTTTCATTGTTTTTAGACCAATGAGTATTAATTACTAGTAACACACTAAGTGAGTTACTAAAGATCATGAAAATTTGTATCCAAAAATGAAAATCAGTATTTACCATTAGAGTTTATTAAGGACTCTGCTTGTTAACTGTACATACAAAGTTTATAATTTTACAAGAGTGCCCAAAAGTACATATACAGATCCTGTTTCACAGATGGTTTACAAGATAACTGACAGAAACCACCTTGTATCACACTCAGGCATTTTCTTTTGAGTGTGTCGTCATTATTGGGATTTCATGGTTTTTGCTGCTCTTTTTGCTTTTGGGGTACATGTTAACTTGGAATCTATTTAGACTGTTATAGATAATTTGATTAATGTGTGATGATGTATATATACATATTTTACAGTATATTTTTCTAGTTTTCTCTAGCAAGATTTTAAATATTCTCAGTAGAAATTAATTATACTCATTCCTAAAACAAATATGCATAATCTACTTACCTTTTACTTTGCTTTTAACACTGTATTGATGATGTAGCCAGTGAACATGTGCTACTTTAAGTAACTTATAAATAGTATTAAGGCTTGTGTAGTGTAATACTGGATTCTTTTAAAGTTAATAGCATATAGTTTTATAATATTAAGCCATGTGTTTCAGTTCTTTTTAAAAAATAAACAATAAGCAATTTTTATATGTTCCTCTCAGTTTTTATTACACAGCAACCTGCTTTAGTGGGAGGGATTGTATCTCATATCTTCGTTTGTTTATTTATTTATTGAAATTCTGGGGATCAAACTCAGGGCTTTGAGCATACTAGGCAATAGCTCTACCATTGAGCCATACCATTACCCAGTCCATTTGGATTCTTTTTTAGCATATTAGCCCACTTCCTACATCTCCAAGTTCTCATCCCAAGACAGAATACAGAGCAAGAACACATTTATTGAATCTTATTTATTTACTAGATAATTTTATTAGCCTTTTACATTTTTTATAACCAGATCTTTTCACAATGACCCTTGGGAAAGTTGTGAAATGCTATACCAGTTAAAAGGACTCTTCCTCATTTTTATCAAATTTCCCCCATTTTTAACAAAAGGCTTTTTTAATGGATTTTTCTCTGTATTCAATTTCTTCCAAGTTCTTCTCCTTTAGAACTTAGCTTTATGACTTGCATAGTAACAGAAAATACCTGTTACAATGTCTTCCAATTAGAACCTGTGAGATTTTAATGGAAGAAAAGGTACTGTCTCTAGCCTGTCTTCCATTATCAAAAACTGATAAATAATTATTTACAGGGTCAGAAATAACTAAGATACATAGAGAGAAATTGATGACTGGGATGTTTAAAGAAAGATCAAACCTTGAAGCTGATCTATTTAATAACCAAGACCCTGGGTACTCTGTTCACAAGCAACAAGTGGTCTCAAAGTTTCTCCCCGCCTCCCTATGTAGTGAACCTAAATTGTCTTTTATAGAGTTTATGGCAGTAACTTGGGTCATAATCTGAGAAGAAATGAGAATTGGAATGGTTGGGATCCAGGATAACTTTATAAGGAAAAGAAGGCCAGTTGCATCACGGGTGCTGCCTTCATCACTTCAGGCTTCACACGTGTTGCACCCTCAGAAAGCCTTCTGGACTCCTTCCCAGCTTCCTGCACTGAGCCCCCCTTTCCTTCACAATATGGCCTAAGCATCGCTCCCTCCTGGCAGCCTTTTCTGACCATTCCCCATCTGGGATA